CAGACATAAACTGCAGATGTGATAAAATAATAATTAAAAACTCGCTTTGAACACATTCTTTGTTGTGCAGATTTGAAGGACTGTATCTTGGGCGTGAAGCATTTCCGGACACGTGTCTCTACGACCTGTTTTCATCCTTAGAGTTGGTAGAACACAATCCCAGTGTTTCATCAGACATTTCAGGACCATTTTGTATAATTTAGCATTATATTAGTATTTTAATTATTCAGTTACTAGTTGACAATGACACTAGGATCGGTAATTTATAGAATGGTGAACCAGTCCTGCTAATTTTCAGAACATCCTGCATGTGATTAAATTTTAGTGATATCAGTATTCTAGAAACAATTATTTGTCTTCCACCTTAATATGCTACCTGCATGATGTTCATAAATAATTTATCACCAGATCAGTCAATTTCTTCCAGACTACACAGTGCAGCATCCCATTAGGTTTCATCTTCATATTCACTGACATAAGAACCTGAAATTTTACGGAGATCAGTTTAATTTGTATCAAATGTTTATTAGGTTCACCTGCATTCAGGGGCTCAGCATGGCCGCCATTTGCTTCACAACTATTCTGAGCAAATGAATACATATGCAGTAGATGTATGGTCTGGACTTAGGTGTGTACAGATTTGGGAGAATATTCAACATGCCTGGCAGTGGCTGCTGGAATTCAGTCGAGAGATGAAGAGGCTTTCACTTCATATATTGAATCCACAGCAGATGTACAACCAACTTCTGCAATTTCTGGGGGCTGAAAGTAAGTGATGTATGACATTAAATTTATATTAATATTTGATTGAACTCCATGGATACAATATTAGTTTGGGTTTTAATAGTAGTCAGATATGATTGTAAACATTAGTGGTGACTGTTCATTTGATGATGCAGAAGATTCCAATATATGACAGGACAGGGTAACCTTTTAAAGTACTTTGTTTTCATTATATACAATTCATTATTCACTTATCCTGTATAATATGAGCTATTGGCAACATTGTTAAATAAACTGTAATAAATAATGATTCCATGAATGTTGATTATATCCAAGGGTTAAATAATAGCCTGAGCTAAAATTGTATTACTATTTGAACATTTACAGTATCTGAAATTTATAATGTGAAGAGATGTCCTTTATATATCATAGTTCCTCAATTTTAAGACATGTTTTTACACATTTTAAAATTTCTAGAATTGGGGTGCATCTTACATTTGATGCTGACTGAGAATCAATGTCAAAAAATATATTATATGACTAAAGCGCAAGGAGAATCTTCAAGTCCATAACACTAGTCGTGGGATGGTAAACACAAAAATAGCAACAAAGAAGATTCCGAAAGTGTTAATACAAAGTAGTTTTGTTTGAATATTGACAGTTTACTATTGTGATATATATTCTTTTCCCAAAAACTAGTTACTAAATCAAGGGCACATCTTACAATTGATAGTTTTTTAATCTATTTTTAAATCAAGGGTGTGTCGTATGATCGATGGCATCTTAAAATCAAGGGAATATGGGATATTGAATGTCCCAATAAAGTGTTTTGGGTTGGTCATTTGCCAGGAATGTTCTGCTCAGTTCAGCTACAGCTACAGGAAGATCCTGTGGTGATGTAAATATTTGCTTTTTGAATCAAGAAAGCGTTCATGCTCTCAGTAAGAGGCAGTGTTAATACTAATTTATACTCTTCCTTTGCAAAAATAAATGTTTCATATTACATGATAAAATGTATTCTTTCTTCCCAGTTTCTTGGACAAATATGTATTTTGGGTGTGTTGGATTTGTTTTGGGAGGAGTTTTGGGGGTTGCTGTTGGCTTTTCATGGCAAAGAAACCAGCCAAATGTCCAGCGGATGAAAGCAGTAGTCTGTAACAGTTACAAAGGATTTGATGTGAGTCTTTATTTAATGTATTCAGAATCCAGAGAATTGATCTAGAGTACTGTTTTTTATTGTATTAACACAGTATCTTTTTGTTCAAGGCTTTGATGATGATTGAAGATGCCCCTGTTCCTGTCATCACAATGCCTGATGAAGTTCTTGTGCAGGTGAAAGCTGCATCAGTTGATTTGGTAGACATAAAAATATGCTCTGGGTATGGTAGAGTACTTAGAAAACAGCTGAATCAGTACAATCATGTAAGTAAGGTCAGTTTCAAATGTTTATGTTAGTTTGGTATTATTAATGTCACCTCATCATTATGTCATATTGGGAAAATCGGTTAGAATTGGAATTGAATGGGACTTATCAAGGTCAGGTCTTTGCTAATGATATTAATTTAATGGGGAAAATTTGGCATGAAAATGTGAAAAATATTTAAAAGTTATGTATATTGTAATTGTGTTCACTTTAATGTGATAGTTTGGACAATCTGTTTTTCTTTTAATTCTTGGAAAGGCAGACACCACTAGATGTATCTTATTTACCATCTCAGGCAAACATATTATAATTTATTTTATACTTCAAGTACAGATTTTTGTAACTTCAACCTGCTGTTAACTTTTGTTTTGCACATAGAATGAAAACTTCCAGTGAGTAGTGGAAACTCTGACATTTGTATGTAATTGCTGTTTTAATCAAAAGAGGAACAGCTGCTCGAAGAAGTATAGCATTAGGTACAAGCAGGTTAGCAGATTTTATTTTGGTTAAAATTGCCAAGTTGTATATTTATGCTGATATCAGAATTATAGATTATTATTGACATTTATTGAATGGGAATAAGGGATTTAAACCCCATATTACAGGGCAGCCATATAAACTTTATCTTTGCAATTAATGGTTTAGTGGTATGCTAGAGTGATGCATGGCCAGGTTGACTGCACATAAGCTGCATTACACAAGTGATAAAACTTAATAATAAGCACCTGCACCATGTGGCTGTGCAGTTTGAAGTGCAAATGAATGCTGGGGTGTCAGGTTCGAATCCTGCCTATGAAATGGATGTTTGTATATGCTTTTCATCACTGCCTGTCATCCGAGTTATCACCACATTATGAAGGTAAAAATTTGGCTGAAGAATGCTAGTGTTTCCCTTATATGAGAAGATTTTGGAAATCTATGGAAAAGTTACTCAACTGTAATGTAAGTACTGAAAGAATACTTCAGAACTTCAATTATTTTAAATTATACTTATCCAAAAGAACATGGTCTTTGTTGCAGTTATTTGTATAAAGTGTGCTTAAATAAATTTTTTTAAATTAGGACCTTTAATTTAGTGCTTTTTTGCCTATAATTTTATTTTAGGCTGACTGATTTTGGCATAGTCTGAAATTTTGCGCATTTTAACCCACTTCCATTCATTTTGTATACTTGATTCTAATGCAAATCTGTGAACTTCAAGCAAGCTGGAGATGGCTGCTGTTATGGTTTGACGCACTGTGTAGTCTGATGGAAGTAAACTTCTGCCAGATTAGACAGAAGTCTTACTAATTTAAAGCAAGTTAGTTTTGGTTCATTATGTTTTCGTCTTCGCTCGTGAGGTTTTTGAAGTATGAAAGAAATGTTTGGAATGTGTTCTTTTGGGTAATGACACCTTGTAGTCTTCTATAGGTTACCAACTTTCCACAGGAAACCACCAACTGTTTCTTTTTGTTGTTGCAATGTTTACAAGTGTAATGGCAAGGCAGTGTCTTCCAAAAGATATGTATTACATCAGACAATTGAAGTGGAGCAGAATGCTGCAGACTAGAACTATTGAATTATCCCTGTTACTGTTATTGGTCTCTTGTAAATTGTTGCACAGTCTAACCTACCTTCCCCCCTCCCCCCTCATTCCTTTTTAGTACAGATAATAAGGACATTAAGGAAACAGTTTTGGCATTATATAACAAAATTAAATATATCTAACATTAATGGTGGTATAACAGTTTTGTGAATGCTTTGCACAATACATTTTAATTTATGATTTGTATGAAATTTACTGAAGCAGATTTAAATAGTTGTTCGTATTTGGTTGTTCCAGAATGTAACAGGTGAATTCCCAGTTGTACTTGGGAGAGACTGTGCTGGGGTAATTATTGAAATTGGTCAAAAAGTGAAGAATTTTGAAACAGGAGATGAAGTTTGGTTTGTTGTTCCATATTGGATGCAAGGAACAATGGCTGAGTATGTGGTTATCAATGAAAGTCATATAGCAAGGAAACCAAAGGGAATAGGTTTTGAAATTGCTGCTAGCATTCCCTATGCTGGAACTGTTGCATGGGATGCTTTGGTTAACCAAGCACATATTCATTCAGTCACAGCTGATGGTAAAAGGTAAGCCACATCCATTTGCAATGTACTCATGTAACCATATAACCTTGTCTGCTGAGATCCAGATGAATCCATATTGTCTGGGGGTTAATCAATTCACATTCCAGCTGTCCAAACTGACACTTTTTTGAGCTGCCTCAGTCCCTCCAGGCAAGTTGTGTGCTCACTCTTCTTCTGACTCCTCATCTTCAATTACCCTACCATGTTCCAGTTAATACTGCATAACCATGGTAGTTGATGTTTGATTTTGAAATAGCAATAAATAACCATGCGGGTGAAATCATTTTGAAGTGTAATTAATGAAATCTGAGTGTGTCATGGTGCCTTCGTTCTCTTTGGGTCATATGTAGTATTGGATGGCAGCACTTCTGTAAGTTGTATTCTAGTAACATGTGAAATATTCACACTTTAGTAGCATATGTGGTGTTCTTTGAGTGCATTCAGTTGAATTTGTCTTTAAATAAAGGAAATTTCAGCAAAATACTTTGAATTCAAAATCTGAGTAAATACTCCATCTGCTAGAAAGTCTGGAAAGACTGTGTGTATGTAATGAACTGGATACCTACATTAATACAAGGTTTTTTAAAAATACCACCGTGTAAAGAGATAATCAAAACTGAAAATGCTTCACATACAATAAAAGTTTGGCAATACTGGACATTTAAATCTGAAATCTCTTAAATCACGGGTTTACTGTATAGAGATAAAAAAGTTAAAAACATAAAGCCAAAGTCTGAGTGCCCATTAAAATTTCCATGTCAAGTGAACATGTTAATGGCCAACACAATAATTGTAACAGTAATAATGAAGATTAATTTAGGAGCAAGGTAATTTTATTTACAGAAATTTTATTATTAGAGATTTTTTGTATTATATGGAGTTAGAGCTTGTATAAATAATGTGCCTCTCTTGTTACAGATATTCATAATATAATAGTTTCAGTGTACAAGTCTGCATGTTCTGTATGTACTCATGTGTATGATAATACCATGGAGCTGATGGTTTCATTAAAAAGTAGCATTGATGCTGTACGCTATATGGTGCTCAGTCCCATAATAAAAATATAACTCTGTGGAAGAGATCTTATCTGAGAGTTTAAAAACAGTAGTTTAGCTTACTCTTTTATCATTCTTCAGGATCTTGGTTCACATGGGTTGCAGTCCGATTGGTTGTATACTGATCCAGTTGGCTCGGTTATGGGGAGCTCATGTAACTGCTACAACAAGTTTACGAGCAACTCCTGTTGTTCAGGCACTAGGTGCTCATGTTGTGGTTGTGTGTGGGAAAGCAGATGTTCAGAAACAACTGGCAGTACAAGAGGGGTAAAAAACATTTTTATTCTTGTTTAGGTTTTTAACACATTTACTGCTAACAATGGCTTTCACTGTCTAGATATTTATCAAACTATTTTGTTGTTGATGAACTGGCCATTTTAATTAATATAACTTATATGCTACTTTGTAATTTCAACTTCCTTTGCTAATCTTCTGTTCACCAAAAATTATTTAAGTGATTACATGAGGGATGAGATTAATGGGACATGTAGCACAGATGGGAGAGACAAAAAATGAATGAAAAATGTTGGTTGGAAAACCTCCAGGATAGGGACCACTTTGAATACCCTGGTATAGATAAAATGATAATATTGTAACTTATAACAGAGAAATATGTTATGGGGTATGAACTGGAATATATTGATTCTTGGTAATGTTTGATGGTGGGAGTTTGTCATTGTATTAATGGACTTTTAGGTTCCAGTTGTGAAACTGTCAGCTGTGCAAGAAAGATCATGAAGTTAATTAGTTTCTTTGTTGGTTGGTGCAATTAGTGATATTTGTGTTGTCAAACTAAACAGCATACCTTTGACCATGAACAGGGGGAAATTGGTGCTACCTGCAGTTTCATCTTATTGTATCTTATGCATTTGCTGCCTGTCTTATTTGGTATCACCCATCTACTTTACACATGCAACATTTCATTTGCATAACACAAACCTTACACAATGTCTAGGAATTATCATCTTTACACCTGAGTAGTATGGCTTGATTTGTAGTGTAAACTGTTATTTTGAAGTTAGCTTTACAGTGGAGATTGAAGAAACTTCATTGTTGCAGTGTTGCATCTTGTCTACCAGCAAACTATCTTTACTGTTGCAAATATGTATGCAACTGAAGAAGAATTTCTCTTGTTGTGAAGATTGAAGTCTTGCCATGGTCCTTATTGTTGGATCATAAGGGTAGTCCGTATTAAACATACCTCTAACTATGACAGTATTTGTAAGCTTTGGTGATGTCATTGTGACAGACAAATCAGTTGTTTTTCAGTTTGTATTTGTTAAGAAGAAATTACAGAACAGCTTAACAGCAGATGCTGAAAATGTCCATCATCATCTTGAAGATGACTTAGATAAGTATTTTTGGAACATAGTTGGCAACTATCTGTTCAGTCCCACAATGTTGTGTTTGTGTATTGTGGTCTGATTTAATACTTCTTTGTCAGCATACACATTTCTAAATGCTTTTTGAATAGCAGCAAATGATTTTGTATGTGGTGTGTTCGAGAAACTAACACTCATTCTCCTTGTGAATACACCATGCACAGTTTTTGCACATCTGCTTCAAATAACGTCAGTGGGCTGATCACTCTCTACTCACAAATGTACACTTCAAAAGACCAAGAATCCTCCAAAAGGGGGAGGTCATGGCCCGAAAATAGCCGAAGCACCACAGATGATGATTTGAGTAGCAGTCTAGCGACAAGAGTGGCTGACTCAAGTGTTACAGGGGAGAGTGGAAAAATCAATTACATTGGGATGGACCTGTTTTTGATTTCATTTCTCTCGTGTAGTATGTGATTGTTGTTGGGTTGTGTTTTAAATGGTACACTCTGTATTATTCAGTTTAACCAAGTTTACAGTTCACAACCTATTTTTAGAAGACAGTTCTAATATTGTTGTCCAGTTTCTGCCTACATGCCTAAGTAGGTCGGTGTAGTAGTAATGCTCTAGACTTTTGTTATGGAGATATGTGCTTTGAATCTCAGCAATGATACCTGTAATCCTGAGGTTTTATTCAGTCTCTCCAGGGTACTGCAAGAATAATACCTTCAGATAGGCCATGCTGTATGATGTCAATAGTTGAAACAGGTCAAATCAATCATTCAGTCTATTTAGATATACACAGTGGTTTCTTTCCATGAGGTTTACCAACCAAAATGTTTTGTTTCATCTATGCTCTTCACATCCTGCGTGGTAAATTTTTTGTAATCACCCAAAAAATGTTATGTAAACATTCAAATTACGAATCTCATCATTATGCGGTTTTCTCATTGTCCATGTTACTTCCTTTGTTTTAGACTCAGATATTTTCCTCATCACCTGTTCCTATATATCGTCAATAAATTGTGGATCTTTTCTTTGGTGGGAGACTAAGTTTTATACCCTTATAAAACAATCAGGAAACCCTAGATGTAAAAGAAAATACAGGTAACCCTCGATTTGCGCTGATTCAGAATAACGCCGCTTTTGAAAGTCAAAAAGACAACAAAATATTTTTTTCTATTATTTCTAACGTTTTACAATGTTTCTCGTACTGATTCTTATATTAAATCGTAATTCTTACATCGCTGATTTTGAATAAAAATTATAAATACAGTCATCTCTGCAATTTTGCGAATTTGCTCCAATGAGATCGATGAATCGGTAAAAGCTGTTTGTGAAATGCAAATTTTTGCATATGCGAGTTTGCTCTTATGCAGTTTTGTTCCTGGCGCTTTAAGCTTTCAGGGGGCTAATTTAATCTCTGCGGAGGTACCGGGGTTATTTTTACTACGCGATTTTCTATAGGTCGGCGTCTTACATGAATGCAACTATCGCATAACATCAGAGATGACTGTACACATCAATCACATGAAAGAATCGCAGTCAATCGCGGGGACCAACAAATTGCCGATTGTAGGTGTATAAAATATATTTTTTAAAGACCCTTTATTTTTTTACGTTATTTCAGAACTTTAAATGTAATATCATCATATTACTCGTCAATGTTTGGGTGCCGGGAACGCATGTCATTGACTTCCCATTGATATACATTATAAAAAGGGTTCCCATTTACGCCGGTTCGTCCAGGAACGCATCCCCAGCGTAAATCGAGGGTTACTTGTGCATGTAATATGATCACTGGTGTTGGTTTTAATTGCCTGTCATTCACATACCATTTCCAGTTTGCCAGTTTTACACACTGCCCTTTCATGATTCTACTGATTTCAGATTTGATATTATTTTCAACACAGAAGGATCTGTTGCATATGAACCTTGCCTCAAATTCTGTAAACCTGGAGGTTCTGTCATAACAACAGAAACATCAGAAATTGCATCTGACACATATGGGTTCTTCTTTGGATCAATTTATGCATTTTGGATTCGAATCAGATGTTTGATACAGGCAAGTAAATATGTTCTAGAATTATATTAATAATGTATTGTAGCAGTCATTATTATATCATGCAAAATTTTAATAATTGTGATAGCAAATGTGAGACAGGCATTCCCCACATGACTGCTTGTATGCCTGTTTGCTTTAGTGATGACATCATGAGGGGATTCCTTCACATTGTGTGAGAAATGTCTTGGTTGACTTAGAGACTATTAGTTCCTGAAGTAAAAATTTATGCCATGGAGTTATGGGGGTAGTTTTACCCTGAGGGTTAAATGACAAGAATGGGGTTTTCCTAATCAACAAGTACTGAACATCAAAGCAAAATGGTTAGGACTCCTGCTTTATATTTGGGATTTCCCATATCCAAATCTTGGCCCACAGGTGCCTGTCTGGGTATTCTTATCCAGCCACTTCCATGTACGGAAATTCATGTAGGTTTTCATGTAGAGAACCCAGTATTGTTTAGTTTTAACCAAAATTGAACATTTTGACAATTTTATTAATTCTCTATAATACCATATTTCATGAAAATCTGTTTTGAGTTACATGCAGAATTATGGACAGACAGACATGACAAAGCTAATAGGTACATATTTGCGAATTTTAGTTGTTGACTGTGCCTGAAGAAGTATCTGGAAGGAAGTGAAAAAGAATTAAAATTAGTAAAAGTGTTTGAATAGTATGTAATAAATAAAAATAAAAATGTTATCATCAGCTGACAAGGAAACAAATTTTAAATGTGTCAGACTAATGTTATTTGGGTTTTTAGAAACTGAATTTAACCTTTTGTGCTGTCTAGCATAGAAGGTTTAGTAAAATTAAAAGGGTCCTTGTTCCTTTTAATACATAAAAATCTCATTTGAAATTTAAACATCTGGAAAAACTGGGCTGATAGCCCAACACACTAGTGTGTTAGATGGAATGGACAAAGGGTGAAATTATTTTATGTTTCAGGTATTAAAAATGAACAGAAATTTTCTTTTGTAGACAGGAATGTTCTGTCCTTGTGAAGGGCTGACCCAGCATCAAAGATATCTAAAGGGATTCTTAATTTCAAAATTAATTGTGAATTGGGACAGAGCACAAGGCCTAATCTATAAAAACTTGAAGAAGAAAAATTTTAGTAAATGTTACTGCAACTTATGATCATCGCTGTTACTCTATTCTAATTTTTGTTTTCTCTCTCTTCCTTACTACAGGTAGGGAAATAAAAAAATTATCATAATTAAGCCTTTTCAATTCACTTTTCTTCCAAAAATACAAGTTTATTTAGCAGAATAAATTCACAATCCTCTATTGTAATCATAATTCTGACTGATGACTGACTGTGTCCCATTGCTTTGTTAAGTCTTACACATTTGTGAGTAGGCCTTCATTGTTGATGTGTCACATAGTATTTTAACCTTATAAGTGCAATGCATTCACTGATAAACCAGTACAAAAATGTTACTTCCCACTTCCTGATTGGAACTGCATGACTCACTGCTACAAGATTTTCCTCATATGAGTTTAATAACACTGCAGAAAAATTATAAAATCAACTTGTGTGTTTTGTAAGAGGTCCTGAAAATGATGTCTCTGTGACAGTTGTGTTTCAGTTAGTCAGTGAACACATTGTATTTTTGTCACAGCTTTAGTGTGTGTAATGTTTTCCAAGAACATTACCACCATGTTGTTAATTAGTTAGTAAAATATTTAATTGCACTATTAGTAGCTCAGAGTATTGTTTCAGATTATAGGACGATTAATGATTTGGAAAGGATATGGAAAGAAATAATTGTTGCTTACTTTAAGGTATTGTTCTGGCATTTATCTGCAGGGACTGAGGAAAAACACAGAAATCCTCAGGATAGCTGGTCTCTGGGCCAAGATTTGAACCCCAGACTTCCAGAATATGAAGCAGGAGCACTAACCAACAGGCTGCAGTATTTGGTATCACCATTTAGATATTGGAGACAGCTGTAGTTTGAGAACACTGATAACAGTGTAAAATGATTAAATAAAATGCATCATAAACTCAGGAAGTGTAGTTCAGCATATTTTAACATTTTTAAAAACAATTTAATTATAAAAAGTACAGTTCCACATCCTTTACTGCTACTGGATTACAAAAAGCAGTAAACCAAATTGATAAATACTGTAAAGATTAGAGTTTAAAATCTGTTTTGAATAAGTGAGAAATCAAGATGGCTGTTTCCTGGGTTGTTGCACTGTGTAGTCTTGATGATGGAGGCAGCAGGACCTCTGAAACGTTGGTAAACTTCTGTCAGACTATACGGCGCAACAACCCAGGAGACAGCCATCTTCAAAAACACTGCCGTGAAAACCTCAAATCCTACAAGTCAGAAATTTTACATTTCAAAATGGGAAGGCATTTGAAAAGGGATGAGATATGGATGGTGCATTGTCAGAATATTGTAGTGGTAGATGAGGTAAATTACAATATTTAGGAACACGAACAAGTACAGGTGTCTGGGGAAAATGAAAGAGGAAAACCATGGCAGTAGGCAATGTGACTAGGGGCCAGGCTCCAACAAAGCAGAAGGCATTCTGGGGAAGGGTCTGAGTGGTAAAGCCTGAAGGGTTAAAAAAAATCATATTTGGGGCTGTCCCCAGAAGTGGCCTAACCTTGTGGATGGGGAAGCTCCTTTGTGGCAATCCCAGTCCTGATAACTTTGGATGGTAGAGGCACAGAGGTGTACAATCTGACAAAGGCAAGTCTGGTGGGGAAGCACAGCTAGGGAAGCAAACATTAACAATACAAATAAGAATAATAATAATAACAGTAGGAATTAAGATGACAACACCAATAGGAATATCAGTAATAATAGTAAAAGAATAGTGACCCCATGGTCATAGTTTGCCTACCTCATAGGCAAACCATTGCAGACAGTCATGGATAGACCCATAAGGTGATTAGTATGAAGTATTAAGTATTGATTGTATTCTGTTTAATATTCTGTATGTTATTGGCTGTCTAGGGACCCACTTTTTGGAGGACATATAATATGGGTCCAGCTGTACTGGATCAACTGGCTCGTCTCTTGGAGGATGGAAGCTTGCAGCCTGTTGTAGACAAAATTTTTGCACCACAGGATGCTGAACTTGCTTTCCAGCATGCAGAATCATTTGAAGCCATTGGGAAAACTATTATCAGATTCAGGTGAGAAGATAAAGAATGCATATGCATGTACAGCAGAAAGAATAGTGTTGATACCCAATAATAACTATACTGGGTGTAAACACTACTTATGATTGTGGGTTCTGGCAGACAACTAATTGTTCAGTAAATGTGAAATGAAAAAAATTATACACATTTTTTGACGTAAATACGTCTATATTTTCAGGTCAGTGTCATTCGGCAAAAACTGAAACGAAAAAGTGAAACTGTATTGATATGTTACGTTGGAAACGTCAATTGTTTACTCGGCATTATTGTTACCTAGCAAATGTTAATTGTTTAGTCGGCATTATTGTTACCAAGGAAACGTCATCTGTTTACTTAGCATTGTTACCTATAAAACATTTCATTACATTACCTTACCTTACCTTACATTTCATTACATTACATTACTTTACATTACATTACATTCAGCTACCACAGACCCATCTTAAGCGTAACTAATTCAAGTTAAATAAGCAAAGCCTTAATCAGACTTTACTCAATTGTAAAGCGGGTATAAAGGAAATATTTAGAATAAAGCCTATATATAAACTTCCTTTCCGTATAGACGTATTTACGTCTAATTCTCCGGAACCGTGGTTCCACTATCACTTTTTAAGTTCATGTAGTTTGAACGAAGGGGGCAGTATATTACTTCTGTAAATGACATATGGTATTGTGTCAGAAGGGAAATGGAATATTGAGAACCTGTGAATGATTCATGTAAACTCATCATGCCCCAAGTAAAAAAAAAACTCTTTCAATATGGTATGTCTGCTGGTCATGTTGTACTTAGGCAATTTGATGCCAGCTGCTCACTGTGGAGGCCTGTTTTCAGTCCCAGGTACATTCCATATCAGATTTGTAATGGATAAAGTGGCGCTAAAGCAGGTTTTTCTCTCTCTTGAGCACTATGATTTTCCCCTGGCAGTTGTCCATCATTACTCCATATTCATTTTTCCTACCCTGAAGGGTGTTAATGGGATTGATACCCAGCATGTTGCTATAACTATTATCCTCAACTGGGCTTTATCTCTGACCTAGCAGTTAGTGGGACTTAAAAATCAATTTTGTGTTTGCTATTTCTATGTGAAATCTATAAACATGGTATATTAAATCTAAAACTTCTTGACGATGGTGAAGAGTCAATTGAATAAAAATTTACTTGGATATTATCCATCATCTAGTAATGAAACGTAAAAAACGTAAAACGATGTTTCGGAGATGAGGCTCTATCTCCGTCTTCAGGTTCCTACTCAGTTGGGCCCACTAGATAGAGCTAATCCCTATCTCCGGACACATTAAAAAGTGAAAGTCCCAGAATAAAAAGGCATAACCACACCATCCATCTGTGGGACGTAAAAGAATAAATAGTAGAAATAAAATTTGTTATTGATGGTGTTTAACAAATGGCTCCTTTGTTTTGTGTACACTGTTGCTTACTACCATACTGCTGGATAGACATTATGCTGATTGGTTTTATTCTTGAAATTCTATGAATACCATTGTGTATAAACATTAATTTATCTTGAAGATTTCATACTCACCACTGTGAAAACCTCAAATCTTACATTAATTTATCTTAATTATTATCAATTATGTTGATTGCTGCAGTTAAGACTGTTACATTATTTTATGTTTACACCTTCTCTTCTAATGTAGGGTACAATCACAAGCATGCTATAATTTTATGTAGTGTCAGTGACAAAATATTCACTGGCAGAGTAAAAGTTTGACTGAAATTATTATTTATTTCACATGACTACAACACACCTTTCTGACTGCATTATACACTTTCATTCCATGTTCTTTTAGTGGTTATTAATATTAATTGTATGTGTTATTATTTTGTTTGTGGTTCCTTTTGTTTTGTTAACTTCTCACAGATTCGAGAATGGCTGTAGATGTGGAGCATATGACACTTAGTAAACAAGGAAGAATTGGTTGTTGAACAATTGAGTCAAAGAACTGTAATTCTACTAATCTCCATGTAACAAAGAAAGGTGTAGGTTCCTGTAAGACACTGGAGGTCAACATAGGCCCAAACCTAGGCTATTAAGGCATGAACCAGGTTACACACATATTATTTGGTCTGGGGTAGGTTAAGGTGACATCAGTTAATAGTGTTCTCAACATTTGACTTGTTTGGGCATACATTTTGTTATGACTGAAAACTGAAGTACTTTTATGGAAGATTTCCCACAGCATGTAAGTACTGAAAGGATTACAGATGTTTATGAATTATAATGTATGTTGGCAGAAACATTCAGGCAAATTATAATCTTCTGGGGTATTTAAATACTGGAGGATGAGAGAGAGTCATGTCATTTAGGGATATCTCGACACCTTAAGAAAAAACTTTAGGCTTCAGGAATATTTTTTGAAAATTCAAAATAGAAATTTTCATATATTATTGATGGAGGTATGTTTTATTTGTACTACAATAATAAAGCAGGTAAGTTTAAGGTAAACAGTGCAATTAACAAAACAAAAAATGGAGGCAAAATGTCGACTTCTCCCTGTGTTTGGGGAGATTTCGACATGTGTATGGGAAATATTTGGAGACTGTAAATACTGAACAGAAACAACTTGAATTCATAAAATAATGCCAATAAACAGTAAATATGCAAAATTAAAAACATGCGTTACATGTGAACTGGTTATCTGCTCCATTTTCCATGCAAGTTTCATGAAACCATATTCCACAGTCGCCGAGACATTTAACCCATTGTTCACCAGCTTTGTCATTGTAATAGTAAGCACTGCACACAACACAGTAATTTTCATCACGGTTGATGTTACTTGAGGAGCTGGGAACATCCGTCCCGAGCTGTCGCTCTGAATGGCGGCTAATAATTGTCTTCATTTCAATACGCCTATTTTGCTTTTCACTTTTCTGTCTGCTCTCTCTCAGTTTTTCCCTGAAGGCTGCTGATGTTACAAAGGCCGATTCCTGTTTATTCCTTCCTTTGCGAATAGAGCAGTTACTTCGGGATTTTACCCCTGGAACTGGTGACAATTCTTGAAAGGATGTAGAAGTTGATGAGAGTGTAGGGTAGTCAATAATGTCTTGTGCAAGACGAACAGGATCTCCACCATTCAGCGCTGGCACAAGCTCTTACTCAAAGACATCATCTGCCAGTACACCAGGGTTGTATGGGTAGATTCCACATTTTCGAAACCCACTAGTCAAGTTACCAACTGTTGCTGACTTATCCCATGCCAGCTTCAACAGGTCACAAAGTCCTCCTTGGTAATTCCCTTCCCTGGATGCTGGCGAACGAAGCTTCTGCAGGCCTCATTGTAAAAGTGCTTAAGACTCTTGAAAAAAAACCCATCAAGAGGCTGACACTTATGGGTGCTATGCGGGGGGTAGGCACAGCATTCCTAATTCTGATGCTATCTCAAGCACATCTGGATCTTTGCAATGGGATGCATGTCCGTCTAATATTAGCAGAACTTTTCCTTGCGGTTTGCACCTGCTAATATGATCAAGAAACACTTGAGATTGCCTCAGACGCCATGTACCGGGAGTCGGACATGTGCACAATGGATCCATTAGGCATTCCTCGACATGTCAAGATCTCCCCAGTACACTGTGTCGAAACCTCCCCGAGTTACACGATTATAATACAGATGTAACCACTGGTCACAGTTGAAGTTTTTATCAGTTCACATAGCATGGCTGTCCTTTAGAAAGTGCGAGTTGTCACCACAATAACTATTAATCCATAAATGTCATGTGCATCCACTGGAATTATTATTATCTGGAATGTAATTATTATAGCGTGTGCTATTTAGGGTATGTAAAACTCACCTAGTCATCTTTGAGGGTTCCGTACGAGGTTGAGAATTACAAAAACAGACTCCTTTGAAGTTGCACGTTGATCACAGTATGGTAGGCTATCTTCTGTACAGTTACAGTCTTTGCCCCCACAGTGCAGCTGTCGCTAGAGCGAAATTTGTTAAAAGTGTCGAGATCTCCCTAAATGACCCTAAGCTGTTTTCATAACCACATCCTTCATCAAGCAGAATAATAACTGGCAAAATTTTCAGGTTCTCATGTAATGGGCATGAAATTGGCTGTCTTTTTGGATGTTGCACTGTGTAGTCCGGTAGATAATGGTGAACATTTACAGAGTAGCTTACTGCCTCCATCATGGTGAAACATTCCAGAAGACATCTTCAGAATAATAATTTTGCTAAGAGTAAATTTGTCAAAGATGGTTGTCGTCTGGGTTGTGGTGTCTCATCTGGTAGAAGTTTATCAGCATTCATCACCGTGATGGTGGAGGCAACAAGGACCTCTGAAATATTGATAAACACATCCTAGAAGACAGCCACCTTTGTACTTATCACCATGAGAACCTCAAATCCTACTTAGTTAATAGCTAATTAAATCAACATTCTGTTTTCAGTCAGTCTGTTCTGATGTTTTTTCTTTTGTATAGAATGCAGCAGTGGGAAAGAGAAACTACAGAGTAATGGAGGAGGCTGTGTGTAAAAAAAGGCTTTCATACAATTTACTGTTAATTTATTTTCTTCTGTAACAATATCATACAGATTCAAGCAAATTTTCCATAACAGAAATAAATATGAGGCAATATTTGAATTTAAAACTGGTAAATGTCCAGCATTCTCATTGCAGTTGTAGTTTTCCTTTACCTCTTCAATCTTCTTCTCCAGAACCTGCTTCACCATTTTCACCATCTTCACCCTCTTCTCCTGCACTGAACACTTGCCCCTCAATTTCTTCCTCGTCATCATCACCTGCCACTTCTGCATTCTCTTGTTCAGCTTTCTCCATCTGTCTTGCAAGTTCAGCTTCATCAGTTGCTGTCACAACTTTAGGCTGCATGAAAAGCATAAACACATTAAAACATGATTTGAAGAGTTCACTGTGAATAGATTCACTAGTCTTCTTGACAAACATTCACATCAGTGTTGAGTAATAAAACCATTGTTTTGGAGACTGGATTTGTTTCCATCATGAAGGTCAATGTGAGGAGTGATCACACATCTCTGATATATAACATCAATCACTGCAATGCCTCTTCCTCATGTATATGTCCTTGACCTTAAGCAACACTGAACTGGGTCTATAAAGGGAGTGTAGATTGTTCAACTTTACTCTGCTCCCACATTACCCACTGGGAAAGAGGCATTACACTGAGTGACCATAAATGTAAAAATTAAATTAAACAAAATGGTTACTACCCTCAGAAAAACTGTGATTAGTCCACAAGAATATGACTGCAAAGCATGATATTTTAGGCATACAAGCAAAATTAAATGTAATTTGTATATTTAATACTGGTATAATTCTTTCATCTCAACTCTTCCAAGTAGCCACATTCTAAAAAATATACCCACAGCTTACATCATATGAAGATAAAACAAGCTAAAACTGTATTTAAGAGACTTGTCCCTAAAGGGTGGCCTACATATGTCAAAGCAAGGCATCAGCTCCTTACCATCTACCTATTATGATAATACACTGCAGTGATGGATGTTGTAAACACCAACATAATCAAAATACAGAGATGATGAGCTGAGAATGTGTAAATTTACCTACCAGTAAGGATGAAATAAACCCCACTGTATAGATAAAGGATTGACAAATGACAGTATGATTATGAATGTTCAGCTGGGAGGGATATATAGAAAGCAATTATGGACTATTTTAAGTTACTAAAAGCAGACAATAAACAAAAATACAATAATCTTGGTTATGATTAAAATAAAGCACTTTCCCTATAGAGTTCTACACATACAGCCACATTTCATCAATGCACAATTATGTTGGTCTAAAATGATGTTTAGTGGATGAAGTAAAAGTAATGAATGGTTTGTCAGAATTTATTTTGTACTTTCCGCTCACTGCACTTACTTCTTTACAAACATTAACATTTGCCCGTTTCATTTAATGTATTAATGTGTAGACCTATCAGCCCATTTGTTTTCTGTATACTTCCACTTTAAATGAGGTTACTATATTTGAAGATGAAGGGCCCTTTAATTTTGCTTAATTCTACCATGTTAGGAGGAGCAAAGGGTTAACAAAGTGACTGAATGTTATGGCTAAGTGGTTAGCACTCTTCCTTCATATTTGGGAGGTCCTGGATTCAAATCTGAGCCAAGAGACCACCTATACCAACTGAAGTGGTTTTCCTCAGTCCTTTCAGGTAAATGCTGGGAAAGTTCCTTAAAACAGGCCATGATTACTTCCTTCCACATCCTTTCCAATTCATTAATCATCCTAATATTCAGTGCTACATAATCTGGGTTACTAACAGTGTCAAATAAACCACAAATAAAATACTTAAACTGACAAAATGATAAACAATAATATCTGATATCATGTAGCATGACTCTACACCTGGTAAGAGCTCGCCACTAGCACACTTGCCTAATTTATATAACAATATTTAGTCCTGTGTTCACCAATACATATACTTACAGCCATCTGAATAGCAAAAACTCCTCCCATAGATGTAATGGTGTCTTCAATCATATTAATGGCTTGAGTCAGTGCCTTTAAGCCATCCTGTTTCTCAGGTGTGGAAGTGGTCATGACTAAAAAAGAATTATTAGAACTTCATAGTAAATGCTTACCATTTCTGTGGATACAGAGAATGAGAAATGGAGTGACTTATCCATCTCCATGTTTTATCTATTAATTAACATTTGGAAGTAAAAGGGTAATTTACACTAAAAACTGTTATGACAATTTCATTTTGGTCCATTTAACCCCTATGTTACATACAGTTCAAATTGATCTTTATGATTTAAAAAAAACTGTACATAACACTATCATTACATAATGAAATACATATCATTAAGATCTGTAACTTTTAACTGACACATTTTTTAGTATGGTGTATATGTATAAAACTGCAAAGAAGTAACTAATTAGGTTGATTAGTATTTATACTCAATAAAATCTTGGGCAATCAGCCATGTCAACTGGTTACTGTAGTAAACCAACATTTCGGGAACGAACTCTGTCCCCATCGTCAGGGTTCTGATTTTAAATTTGTAACTATGGAGCATAGTTCTGTACTGTTAATTAGCTCTGTAAGCAGTAAGTTCACACCTGGGATAAATGAATATCATGACCAATGATACATGCAGTTGGAAACTCTGTACTTCTAGCTGCAGTACACTTTTCCATTTGTATTTGGTTCCAAAAAGGTTAATTAATATTACCATGCTGACATGCAGCATAGTGGAATTTGGATCCACAATGATAATCATGAATTTCAGGCAGAGTACATGAAATATGATCACATCAGTTTGGTCATTCTGGAACTACATGGAGCTTCAAAGAACAGAATCTAGTAACAGTCTGACCCTCAATGACCATTTTGCATCATATATTACCATAAAGAGGTGGAGCTATGAGATTGATCTTGATTGGCAGTTCTTCAGTTGAGCAAGCCAAGCCTGTTCTAAGAGCAGTTTTCACAGCATCAATACCCTCATAGCCATAACATGCCACTTCAATGTCTGCTCGTATTTTTACAGCCTGTGAAGTCAGCTTTCGTTTGATGTTGTTCAATAAAACTTCCTTTGTTGTGTCATCTAAACCACATTCTGCAAGGATTGAAGGATCCCTGGTAGGAATTAAATAACAAATATGTATTATTATTGTTGTTTTCTTTTCCAGATCCCAGCGGCTGCTAAAAAGCATAACCACAGGCAAGAAGTATACATTGAGTAAAACTAGTATATAATACATGCCAAATAAATAACTTTTTCTTAGATAACTGTAATTGTCTGTATTTATAATAATGCAGACCTTATAGATACAAATACAGTCTTTCATAGTAACATTTATAAAGTTGTATAAAAAGACAATAAATATTCTTACAAAACAGCTTGTTTGAAAAAATCATATGCAGATGCCTTCTTCTTGTACTTTTCCTCAAAATGCCAGGCAGTTTTCTGATACAGATCTTCAAGCTGATCATCTGATTCATAATTTAAAAGTTCAGCCACGTGGCGGAGGATGGAGTTAACAGCCTTTGCCCTAGCAAATCTCTCCGTACATTTCTCAACATCCTCTGCTGACACTCTACGCTTGCTTAAATCAATGTAACCTGACAATTAAAAATATCCATGAGACAAGCAAGTAAGTAACGAATCTGTAATAACACATCTCTGCAAACCCAGAATTGAACAATCCAAATGTACAATGGAATTTTTATGATTAAGTACAATACCTTTTTCTTTGTCCACTCTAATCACAACCACTGGTTCCGTTTTACCCACTCTAATCAGTTTATTTATTGACCGAATTCGTCTGCGAGAGAGTTCGGACAGAAGAATCATGCCTTCTATGTTATTATATTCCAATAAATGGACGTATGCTCCCATTTCTGCTATACTCCGCACATTTACCATTACCACGTCTTCAACTTCAGGATACTTCTCTTTGTAAAATCGACACGACAGCGGCATGGTGCTTTAACAAGTCTTCACCTGATGAAAAAGAAAAATCACACGTGTGAGCAGGTACTATACATAACCTACATAGCTTTGAAGGTTAGGGCTATTTACCGTAGATACAGTGCAGCATAAATGTTACAGACCTAGTAAACAAATGGCATTAAGTATATTGAAATAAGAGACTTGATGGAACAAATTATATATCTTACTGAAGCAATAATAACTACCACATATGCTGTATATAACAGGGTATAAAACAGATGTCACCACACATTAAACCCCTACACCGTAATCTGCATTGTACGATTATCTGTGCATTGTGGTACGCGTAGAAGCTTTCGAGCATGTAACGTATGCCTTCGGATTTTACGTCTAAGATACTTAAAAAAAAAGTAAGAAAATTCAGCAAGAATTAGCTTTGAAAGTTGGAGAGGTAAATTAATATTGTTGAACACAACGAACGTTATGGGGGTGCAATGAAGTCCTTCTAGTCATTACTTCTGTCCAAACCTACTACGTCTCTCGCGCTTTGAATAAATGATCTCTGTGGCGTACATGGTATATGTAACTTTGCGAAGCTAAATATTAAATTCAGAAACAAATTTTAAGATCATTGTACTTACATTAAAGATTATAACATTATAAATGAAATAAATTTCAATTTTTTGAGGTCAAAATATAGCCTACCAATGATGATATACGGCGGGAACAAATTTCTTTAATTCCATTGGTTCCTCTCGTAGCGCCAGCAGATGCCCGCCATATTGCAAAGGAGTGTGAGCCATAAGATGTCGACTGACAAAGATAGTACAAAATCCGAGGAGACGAAGGTATGTTTTTATAGGAGCAATTGGTGCAGTTTTTAATTTAAAGGCTATGCTTTCTACAGGTCGTGAAAGCATGTACTGATGTTTTTATGAAAAGTTTTGCATTAGTGTTTTCCATGTTGGGTTGGGGTTGATGTAGACCAAGATGGCGTAGGCGGGGACATAGTTGTTGATGTTTGAAAACGCGGGAACGCGTACCTGTGTGTCGTGTATTAGTGAGTGGTGAGTTAAGATGAGGCGTCCCGTAGCATCGAGTCGTTTAGTATGTATAAGATCTTTTTTTCATGTTCCTGTACATTGTTAAAACAATGATAAGTACTGTATGAGATCAGTGTGTAATATAAATTAAATTTTTGCGTTTATATAGCCGGGAAGTCGGCAATTTACTGGTATATTGATGCAGAGTTTATCGTATGGTGTGAGGTGTAAACAAATTTTATTTTATTCAGGTGGAGGAGGATGTAAAGGTTGCAGACAAAGTTGATAATAATGAAGGAGATGAAAAGGGAACTAGTGAAAATGAGGAAAAGGAACCTCCAAAGAAGAAAGCGAAAGCAAAAGATGTAAAGTGGGAAGAGAAACACGAAGAGGAGGAGGAGGAGGAAGAGGAGGAAGAAGAAGAAGAAGAGGATGAAGATGATGATGATGATGATGTGGATGGAGAAGACAGAAAGAGTAGTGGTGAAGGAAAAGGTATATGAAATTGTTGTTTCTGTTTATAGTAATATCACTATACTTATATTTTACCAGAATGTGTATGTTAACAAAATAATTATGGTTTCTGTATAATTACACTTATATTATGGGAAGAATACAGTTTAATGAACTTTATTTATTTCTATACTGTTTAAGAATCTTAAAGATTTGTCTTGAACATGTGTACTTAATAGAATTGGTTACGATACTGTACACTAATTTGCTATGAGGCCTTGCACTTCATCTGCATTGTTTTAACTTTCCACCCCAGTAAAGCTTACTTAGCATTTACTGTGGTAGTTGGGTGTTTTAGTTTTGTTGTACTTGCACAAAATATTGCTTTGTTTTATATGATGCGTTTTGCCTGTTAAATTTTTTAAACAAACCAATAGTTTTGCTTTCATTTTGAAATCATGCTAATTTTGATAAAATTTCTCTGTTTTGTTGTTTGATAATCATGCGTGATATTCATTGTAAGTTTCTGATGAATAGTAAGCCTTGTGCAGTTCTTTAGAAATATACCATGATATCATAAGTGGGCAGGGATTTGGATATAAAAGAAAATATTCCGTGATATGGCACGAGTAACTGTTTTACATTTTCAGTGTAAATATTTAAAATTCTGAATTCATATTTCATGATGAAGTTTGATAAGGTCTGCTTATTAAATTTGTATGGATTAGTATTATTCAATTTTTAATTAATTGGTAATAGGTAGTCTGGTCCTGTTATACTGGTTCCTCAATGCAAATTCATATAGAGCAGGCAGTCAACACATGTAAAGGGTAATTATTGAGTAAGTGTTGATGGACAGCTGATGAGCAGTGGCCCTTCAGTTTGTAAGTTGGGTGGGAAGTCAACAGGTCAACCACAAGAAATCAACATGTTACAGAATGGTATATAAGGCTTTTACTTGAATCAGATCTTTGGAATAAGCTAAGGAATTGGAAATCAGAATGGGATTTGGAATGCCAGGAGTTGATAAATGAGGTTAATTTTGAAATAAGTAAAGCTGCTCCACTATGTGGCATTTGGGGGGGGGGGGGTGTTAGCTCCTGCTCGTTCTTGACTATATTGAGGTTGGTCATTGTTCTGTCCTGACTGCTTTCCCCAGTGTAGTGACCTGTGGTACCCATTGGATAGGAGGTTGGGTGGACCCCAGAGCTGGTCTGGATACAGAGACTAGAAGAAAAGTGTTTAAAAGATTATCAAAAAAATTAGCAAAATACAGGATGGTTAGATGTAATGAATCCATATTAAAATATTTATGGTTGCAGTGTATTCCTTTTTGATTGGATTAATAAATATACAATATTACTGTGACTATACATTATCTCATGTAGGTCATATTGTAACCTACTCATGCCAGTCCAGTTGTCTTTAATAGTCAAAGTGCAGGGATGTCTTTTCACGTGTACTGTGAGTGTTCATTGTCAGGCACTACCAGGCATCTCATTCTTTAACATGCTGGATTGAGTTTAGGCACATCTCTCATGTGCCAAATAAATTGGCATTACCTTGTCTGGTGAACTGTTCCTGTGACACAGGAAGTGTGCTGGACAGAAACCATTTTGGTCGATCTGTTAATTTGTTGACAGTTCCATTGCTCGATCAACCTCTTCAACTTTCTGGCACTCGAGAAAGGAAAAAGGTTCAACGATTTACAGAAGAATTTAAGTCCGAACCTAAAGATGCTGTTTTGATTGAAATTCCAGAAGGAAAGGGTACTGCACTCGGTGATATTCCTCGCATTGATGCTGTTCTACAAGTAAGTTTGTTGTAGTGAGCTAGAGGTCTGCACAGCCTGAAAGTTCTAGAATGTCACCAGATGTAGCTTGAGAAGCATTTGGCTTGAGCTGGAACATTACCAGTATTCTATGTAAGCCTGACTTCCTTTTATTCCAGCCATAATGAAACCTGATCTATTTACATTTTGCCGTGACTATTGTGTCATTAATGTTTCCTCTAATGTAGTGTTTTAATAAATACCATTCATATTGAAAGGATTATTTAACAATGCTGTAGGAAAATTAGAGGCTATTTTGACATTCTAGGAGTGGTACAAAGATAACAGATATCAAGCAAGTTAAATTAAAAACTTCATGTTTCTTTCAAGATCTTTTTCATTTTGCACAAGATTTGTATTGAATATTCAGTATGTGTTAGAAGCTGTGAGTAGTGTTTGCACTGGTTCTTTGTTGCAGAGATACAAGTCTGATGAGCTTAAAGCCCTTCACAGACTCCTCTTCAATCGTGTTGGCAAAACTACAATGATTAAAAAGAACCTCCGCAAGTTTAATGGTTTTGACTTTGACAAAGAATCTGATCTATTTGAAAAGAAGAAAAATGCTATACAAAAGTAAGTACATCATTAGTTTTCACATCTAAAAGGTTATATTTATAAATAAAGGCCATTTCTCAGTATCTTGGCAGTGTTGCTCATGAATGATTCTTGTATTATTAACAAACATTTTTATTTTGTTTGTGGACTAATATTGAATTGTTATGAATGATGAATTAGAAAGGATTTACAAGAAAGCTTTTTCTATTGTCCTAGCGTTTGCCCGGAGGAACTGAGGAAAGCTATAAAAAATGTATTGGCTATTCAGTCAGTGTCATAACGTCTGATTATCACCAGTTCTCATCATTGAAAGAGTCTTTATAGGTTTCAGATTCTAGTCTAGTTATAATAGTGAAGAAAGTGGTTATAAAATTGCCTTTTTTACAGTTTGTTGTCTGGGTTATACTTTTTTTGCTTTCAGGTTGGAAACGAGAGTATTAAAGAGCTTATGTGGTATCTTGGACTTGGAGAAGAAGGGTAATCGTGAAGAAATTGCAGAAAGGATTGTTACATTCTTGCTGGACCCAAAAGATTCGGGAAAGCCTGTACCTCCGCCTCGACCAAAAAGAAGCAGCGCAGTTAAAGCCAACAACAAAGGCTATTCAGAGTATGTTCCAACTTGGCTACTCAGTAGTTAAGGAGGGGTTTGATATTTTGGATATCCATTTTAGTTTCATATAGAATATTTTACAGCTCAAGCTGTTGGTTTGACTGATATGTTATTATCTTCCTATATTGCATTATTACAGCAGCATTCCCATGGTCCAGCTGGCCAAACATTATAATATCGCAATGCAGAAATATCCCTTTGTTTCAAGGCCTCCTGTTGTGGCTTTGGTACTGGAATTTTGTCCATTACAAACTTCCAGTATGCTATGCTGTTGTGTGTTATTGAAAACCCTTGACCATAGGATGGTCATATTAGCCGGAAAGTATTAAGTTTGTTTGTTTGTGGTTAAATTAATAAGGCTGTCAGTGGCTTAGACTATAAGGTTTAATGATAAGATGATAATGAATTGGAAACAATATGGAAGTGGTTTTGGCCTAAATGAAGGTATTATCCTGGTATTTGCTTTGAGGGCCTAAGAGAAACCACAAAAATTTTTGGAATCTGAGATTTCAATGTGAATCAGGGCCTTTAACCACTTGACTATAATGTTTGATGAGTATGTTCCAGTTGGTGTTCATTCTTGGCACATAACTTTTGTGCTATTTAATGAAATGTACCTTCTAAGCATTTACAGCTCAGAATCATTACTTACAAATCTAGTTATAAATAACTTCAGTGCATGCTTACAGTATCAGTCTTGGAGATAACCATATTTACACCCCAACTTTTGTATTTGGTCATAGATTCATAACCAGCAAGTGTGGTGTTATAAAATAATTTGTTTCAGAAATTTATTAGTGAATTCTATTTGTTGTTGAAATTTAAGTAACAGTGTTTTCACAAAAAGAAATTGAAATGTCATTTGGGGTTTATGTACACCCTACTTGGGAAGTTGCATCATGCTTCTTCGCTGCCAGTTACTGTGTCAATCTGGAATTGTTGAGCTATCATGTGTAAGTTAACAATTGTTTGTATGCAAAGTAAAGAATTAAAGAATTTTCTTCAGAAGTGGAAAATTATCATGTATTGTTTATATTGTATCTCTCATAATTTAGAATGAATAATAAATAAGAGTTACATCAATCAATACTAATAGTACAATTGTTGTAGGGACACTAGTATTAGATTTGTTTGAATTTTTCCACTCAAGAAGGAAAAATTTTTGGGTTGTGTTAACACTCCAGTTAGTGCTCTGTGTATGATTTTTCAATTCGGTGATGTGATGGTTTATACAAGTTTTGGCCTGAACAGATCAGATGATGATGAGAAACGCCCAGTAAGATCACGACGTGGAAAGTCAAAGCGAGCAAGTCTGAAGGAAGATTCTTCATCTGAGTCAGAAAGGGAGCGCAGCTCTCGTGACAAGAGAAAGACAAAAGACTCTGAGAAGGAAAAGGAGAGTGAAGAAGATTTAGATGAGGATGAAACGGCACCCAGTAGTGATGAGGATGTAAGTTAATTCCTAAGATTTCTAGATTGTTTGTAATGGTTCTCATAATTATTACAAAAGATAGGGATGCATTTCTGATAATTTTATTTGTATGTGAAGTACACATTACCAAATATTTGCATATGCCAAACATTCTTATAATGAGAAGGTTAAAGATGTCTTTACAAGTTTGAAGGTCCTGAAAATTCAGATGTCAATCACTAATGTTAAATTTACAAAATACTTTTGGTTTTCTGTTACTCTTTTTATACTGCAGGGCGGATGTGACTGTTGTGGCATGCTTTTTCTTCTGTACACAATCACTGCATGGTTGCTGCATGCAGCAGTAGTTCTGAGAGGATACTGTAATTTTGTAATGTTCCCTCTGTGTTGGACATGGATAGGTTTACATAAGCATTCTTGTATGAAAATTTCTGTGACGTTTAAATCTACTAAGAAGACCAGGAGAAACTTCAGTTAAACATTTCCTGGAGTGTGAGTTCTGTAAGCAGTATTATAAAGTAAGAATTGATGTGTTAATAGAAGAAACCATAACATAGTATACCTGGTATATTCATTGAGTTCATGATGACGAATTGATTCTAAGTTCACAGTTTTTTCTTTATATTTTTCTAGGTTTTATTTGGATGGGTGTGTGAACACAATAATAACAGTTTCTGAAGCTGAGACATACCACATTTTTCTGTTAATACTCATTGTTGACATTTCAGTTTCTTTGTTTTGGGAACTAGCAGAGTGCCCACATTATTACTGTGGGAAATTTTGACAAATGTTTACATTTTTTATCGATCTTTATTGCCCAGAAGAATTTTGTAGGCTTCATCATTTGATATGTATTGTTGAATATTGTAACAAATTATTCCTAAACCCAACATCAGTAATGGAACTTATTCAGGGTTGTGGCGTTTGTTCCTGTAATCTCCTTGATGAAACAAAGAACTTTGGTCTTGGCGCTGTTCTGTTGTGCTTGGTTTCTGAGCTACAGAAATCACTAGGACTTACACACAGGACACTTTTGGAGTTGTGACCTTTCTGAAATCCATTCCTGGCATCAGTAAATATGCATGCCAAGTTTGGAGCAGGTTGCTATATCTTTTCTTGACCTACAAGTGAACATACATTCTGACATTTTAAGTTCTATGTATAAAGAATTTAACATTAGGAATCTGCATATAGCAAACTTAAATTAAAAATAACTATGGCAATTATGTGTGATAAAAATAAAGTATTGTAATGTGGTGCCAAAAGTGCATGAAGCTCACACTGGAGGGGAGGAGTCACCTGACTCCTCTCCCTGGCTAGTGGACACTGATTTTAGGTGTGGCCGCCACGGAATGTTCCAGTTGCTGTATTCCCCTCCTTTACAGAACCTTTGAGAAAGCGAATCTTCTAGATCCTTTTAGTCTGGAATGTTCTGCGACTGGGCTGGCGAATATAAACGGTTGCCTCCTTGAGAGTGTAAAGTCTCTCTGGTGCAGAAAGAATGGAACAATAGAGCGAGAGTCAATGACAAATCAAGCGAAGAGTGTGGAATAGTGAGTGAAGTCTTGAATGAAACATGATCTGGCAAGAGTGTTGAGTGTGTGAGAGCAGGGAGCCATCGAGTGGTCTGGCGAGGCGCTGAGAACTGAGGATTGTGTGTGTGTAAGGAACACTTGGTTTGTGGACGGGAGCAGCTGAGGAGCCAGTGTGTGTCCAGAGGGATCCTGTGAGAGCCGAAGGCTGCGAGTGTGGAGCATCGGGTTCATGGACAATGGCGGCTGAGGAGCCAGCGAGTGTCCAGTGGGGTACTGAGAGCTGTGGGCTGCATGTGGAGGGCACTGGGTTTGTGGACCGAGGCGGCTGAGGAGCCAGTATGTGTCCAGTCGGGTGCTATGGGCCAAGGGCTGTGTGTGTGTGTGTGATTGGGGAGTGCCAAGGCTGAGGACCAGAACAGCTTGACTGACAGAGAGTGTGTGTGTCACATAGTTGTAGAAATGGAGACCTAGAAACTGTATTGGATAGTTGCCTGTGTGTGCAGACTTTGTAAGTTGATTTATTGTCAATAAATCAAGGTAGGCACAGAGCCCAAGCAATAGTTGATAGGTGTTGATGTCACAGTATGCATAATGAAGTTATTATGAAAACTGCTAGTTTATAACCTACGTTTTTATGCTGTGTTTTTCTTACAAATGCTGAATGTCACATTTGTGTAAGCATTAGATTAACATGACTTGCCTTCTAATTGATTTAGGAGCCCAAATCTAAGAAGAAGCGTGGTAAGACTACTACAGCAAATGCAAAGAAACCAACTACAAAGAAAGTTACTGCTAAGAAAACTCCAAGCAAAAAAGCTGAAAAGAAACTGGCTCCTAAAAAGAGAAAATCTGGTAGCAAAAGTGAAGACTCTTCATCTGAAGATGAGCCTCTTTCAAAAAAGACAAAGGCACCTCCCACAGTATGTATGAGTGTTATTTTAATTCTTTCACTGGCAAGCCCTCATTCTGTCTTTTTGTGCAAATATTGATTACTGACTTTGGATGTTAATATTTTATATGCGAGTCTAAATTTGGTACTAATGTTTGAATGTTTGCAACACATCGAAAATTAAGATTGTGGGGAGATCGAAGAAATTGCAGCTTTGTCTGTTGATGCATATGAAATTAAAATTATGCTAGAAGGATATGAGTGTGTTCCAAGTTTGGTATGATGAACAGAATTGACAGACTATAAATAAATGTCTTTGTGGTTTGCTCAGATGTCCTACATTTCAAAATATGCTGTTTGGGTGCAGTATGAATGGGTTGATGTAGTATTTCTGTAGTGAATAGTGTTCAGGTGTTCAGCTTTTGTTAAATTATAGAAGAGGGCAGACATAGTGGTTTATTAGATGGGAAGAATTAGAAATTTATTAATTAGAATGTGATATAAAACCACAAATGTTGCTTTCATTATTATTATTTATTTGACTGCAAATGGGTTTTTACCCGGTGGCAGTGGTCCTACAATAAGACACAACAAAACATAAGACAACAAAAACAATAACAATAAGAAACAACAGAGGGATGAGACACAACAAAACAGTAAGACAAAAAGACATAAGACACAACAAAAACAATAAGACAACAAAACAATGAGACACAAAAAACATAAGGCACAACAAGAACAATAAGACACAACAAAGCAATGAGACACAACAATACAGTAAGACAAAAAGAGATGACACAACAAAAGCAATGAGACACAAAAAACATAAGGCACAACAAGAACAATAAGACACAACAAAGCAATGAGACACAACAATACAGTAAGACAAAAAGAGATGACACAACAAAAGCAATGAGACACAAAAAACATAAGGCACAACAAGAACAATAAGACAACAAAACAACACACCACACTCAAAATAAAACAACTCATAATATTACAAAACCGTATAACCTAAAGTACATAACTTAAAAATTAATACCAACTAGACATAAGTCAGTAACAGTAATGAATCACACGTTTCATCAGGACCTTCTCTTCACTTCACTACACTTATGAAGCCTTCCCATCCTCACCCCAATTTACCCCCCTTCACTGCACCCACCCATGTAGTCCCTTTACTTCACCTCATTTATCACTTTCCTAACCTTCTTCCTAAACGATAGAATAATAATCACAATTGTCATTATTTATTAAGAATTAATCTGGAAATATCGAGCTCCAGATTCGAATATTCAAGCTTAGTCTGAGTTGTGCAATGTTTTGAGCTGCTCACACCTCTAGGAGAAATGCAATCCTGGTAATATTGTGTTATACAGCTATATTATTTCCAAGAAAGTTGATTTTACAAAATGTATGAAATATAAATGTATAATAATGTGTTAATTTTAATGATTTTAGGATGATGAAATCAAGACATATGTCAAAGAAATTTTGGAGGGTGCGAATTTGGAAGAGATCACAATGAAAACTGTGTGCAAACAGGTGTATGCTCATTATCCTGAGTTTGATTTGGCCCACAAGAAGGATTTCATTAAGACAACTGTAAAGTCGGTAAGTGAGGTTGTTAATCGGAAAGTTAGTATATTTTTCCTTGGTGTAGTAGAAACATACAAGGTTATAAAATTAAATGGTTAAGTATAGCTTATTTGCACTATTGATATAATCTCTGGCTGAGATTTGATTGAACAGTCTACTTAAAGTTACATAATAGGTGTATCAGACACTATTGAAAAAGTGCTTGTGTAGATACACAAACGTTTGTCTGGAAATAGCAATAATACTGATAGCAACACATTTACAGTTGCAAGCAATAAAAATTCTGACTGCTAGGATTCAGTTGCATAACCATCTCCAGGCTAAACTGTATTTTATTTGATTATAAATTTACATTATCTAAATGTGAAGATTTTAGCAACTAAATGCTGTGCAGTAAGGAAGTAGGTTTTATGAATTCTGCTCTGAATTCTATGCTTACATTCAGATTAAACAGCTTGATATGAGTAGCAGACTGCAAAACTTGTGCTTATGTGACTTGTCATTATTTTTCCTTTTCATTTTTTTATAACAGCCATGTTCATCGTATATTTCTGGAAATAAATTTAGAAATTTGTGCTTTTTTCCAGTTGATATCAACATGAATGGACTCCTGCGTGCGTGTGTGTGTTGTAAAGTGTACCTGCATTATGAATGCATACAATATAAGTTTTATCAAATTTAAACTTACCAACAACAGTTACTAGCAATCAGATCTTGGATGACAGTGCTTACATAATTTTAGTCATGGAATTTTTTTAACCTGATAGTAATTTTTTCAGTATTTGATTGCCCTGATATTAGCAGGTTCTTGTTGGCCAGTCTACATACATTCTTCAAGAGAAACATCATTATGGTATTACATTCGGTTTATTGTGTTCATACATAGTGAATTATAAGGTAATGGTTGCTCCAATCGTGTAATATATATATGTGGAGATTTAGTGGGTTTTTGGTGTGTGATGGATATGACTTATTGTTATATATTTCAGTAGTTCTTACACTTTCCTGAGCCATTTTGTAGGCTTTAGATTCTGTTAACAAGACTCACTGTTGGTGGACAGTTTCATCTTGAATAAGTTTATAGCTTGGCCAGCATCACTGAAGTGGTTCTAAACAGTGTGATGTCTCGGAAGAAGAGGTGCCATAAAGTGAATATATTTATTCCTTTATTTTAGGTAACAATCTGACCTGTTTTGTTAGATGTTTACAAAACATTGATAAGTGTTCTTGGTGGTCTTGCATTTGCAGTTGCAATGTGTGTACAGTATTTTTTGCAGTACTTGGAAAAAAATTTAATACTATCAGAAAGTAAGGCATGTAATGTTTCTGTTTTAATACACAGATGTTTGGAATTGCATTTTGAATTGATGTAGGTTGTACATTTTATTAAAGTCAGCTTCTAATAACTTATTGCTTATGTACTTGGGCCTTTTTAAGTCAATATTTGCTTTACAAAAATTATATATTTCAGTATATTGCATACTTTTAAAAAAGCTCATTTTAGTGATATTCTAACTGTTAATTGTCTTGTCTTTTTTAATAACCAAGGTATTGTGCTACCACACGTTTTTATGTAGGATATGCAGCTTTCCATTCCAAATAACAGCATGTAATTTATATCAAAATATTTATGAGTAAAGATATTTTTGGCAACCATTTTGAATTGACAATTTTACTTTTTATCATTGAGAAATTTAAGTAGATGTATCTGAAATGACAGTTCACTTGAGTAAAATAAAGTTTAAATTACTTGAGATATGATCTGTTAAAGTGTGTTTGTGCACTTGTAGGAAGATACAATCATTTTAGAGGCATATACAGCCTCCATCTTAAAGGAGGCAGTGTCTGTTTAGAGGTCTAAACAGTGTTAGAACCCAAGACCAACATTGATATATTCACCACCATGAGAGTCTTTAGTCTCAGAGCTGGACTGTTTTGATTATGGGATAGGATTTTTGTCAAGCCAAATATTTATATATATTGGAGGAATAATCGGTGAAGGCACGAGTATGAATAAGTATTTTGGAAGCATTGGTTGTTTGTCGTTTTCAGTTTGAAGTCCCTCTTTTTACACCACACATCACAGATGTTTGGAACAAGCTAATGACATCCTCTGACAGTAGTGTAGTGGAAAAAGATATGTTGTAAATAACTGTCTGAAAGTTTGTCTAGCAATTGTCTTTTGGAAATGATAATGTAGTCAAAATGAATATTAGGTTTCTATATACTATGGAATCAGTGAAAGGATTTTATATTTTTTTCTATTTGTTTTTAAATATTAACTGCTGTGCACGTGTTTTAAACAAAGCAATGAACCAAATTATATTGAAATTTTTATGACATGTTTCTAGCTTCATGGCAATATATACACCTGCTCTCAGATAAGAAATAGTAAATCAGTTTCAAATGCTACTTTCACATAACTTAAAGGATCCAGATGGGATTGTTTGCAAATCACTAAAAAATGTTCTGTTAAAAAGCTGAAATTTTTCTGGTCTCCGTACTATTAAATGAGATAGCTCTATGAAGTACGATTACATAGCATTGCAAATGTGTGTCATAAGTGTTTGACATACTCTGCTATAGTGTGTTCTCTAGACAACTAAAATGAAACTTGGCCCATCTGTCCATGTTTTTTTGGAAATTGGTGTCTTGACTTTTGTAAAGGATTGTTAATATCTACTGAATTATGTTTTAATGTGTTCTGTTTTTAAGGAAGTAGTTAATTCATATAAAATATTTGCATAAATCAATTCCACTGCTTCCAAACATTTGTATGCTTTTCTTACACACTGAATATCAGATTTAGTTACATGTCTTGATATCTTTTGAATTGTGGTTCTTCTTGTTTTGTTGTGTAACATTAAAAATTCTGTATGTACCAATAAGGGTTGCATCTCAAAACATTCATTCATAGGCAGACTGGTCATTATTATCATTGCTTTGTGGTAGCTCTTCATTCAAGTGTGATTAATGCCTATTATTACATCTTAAGGTATTTAATAGGTGTCATAAAAATGGCTCATTTGTTGGTTTTGCTTATTTGTTTTGTGTTACAGTAAAACCTTGTTAGTTTACATGCTGGGAGCTGTTAATGCGTAATTTCAAATTGTCCAATTTTTTCGTTGTGGACTTACCTACTGGGTATTTAGTTATCCACTTAAGTGGTATATTTCTGGATCATTAACTCACACATGGTTATTAAAAGTCCACTGACTTCAAAATTTATGGCAGCATTTCATTTTAGAACTTTGTGTTGTTGGATTCTGTATGGTTCTGATGATGGTGTGATATAGTCGAGGTTATTGGGTTTTTGGGCGATTGACAAAGTCCCAGTAACCCTGACTTTGTGTTGTGTTTTAAAAGCCAGTATCTTTGCCATTCTTCATAAAAAAAATCTTGAAACAAAAACTGTTTGAAAAACCAATTACTGGAGTTCATATATATATTTTTTCATAACTATAGTCCTTTCATAAAAGGTAATTTATTCTCATGAGGAACATTCAGTCCATTTAACGTTATTCTATTTGACTATGCCACTGAAGTTCCAGTTGGAATAAGGTCTGATGTACAGGTTCTTTGTATAAAGATGCTCCAATTTTAATTGCATGTAATTACACAACATAGCAACTGTCACTGTGTTTGATGTCAAGTTCAGTAGTTTTGGAGAATGTGCTGCCTTGGTGAAAATGTTTTGAATAAGATGGCATACACATTAGAACAGCATGTGTTAATGAATTGATTTTAATAATTCCATCTGGAATGTCTTTTTTTAGAAATACTGTGCATCTGACTCTTGAACTTGCATTTGATAAAACCCATACCATGGTGTGGCATTTAAGGATGAAACATGATGCAATGTCAAAGATGTTCGGCTGAAAAAAGCTTATAAACATCCCACATATGTTTATTAGTGACATTAACCATAATTGTTTTTATAGCTGTTGAATCATTGATACTGTTTTGGTTACTTCACAGTAAATGGTTGTAATTCTGGAAATATGTTTGTGTATCACAGAAATTCTACAGGTAGTATTCATAGTGGTTACCTTTTTTATTCTGAGACAACAGGTTATGAAATTCCATCCAAACCAACATGCTTGGGTGGTGTAAGATCATTCATAGTCCTACTGATTTCACCAGCAGAGATTGTTGCTACAGGTACAAGGTCTGACGTGACAGAAACTGGTCATCGATTTGAACTTGAATAAAACTAATATTCTTTTTTTAAAAATCTGAAACATATTTCCTTAACCGCTTAGTAGTCAAGACTCATTGACAGATTTTAACTACTGCTGTCAGGCTAGTTATAGTCCCATGTATATGAAAATATTAAAAATTTGTATAACACTTGAACCCATGTGTTAAACATGAGCTTCAGTTTATGTGGGATATTATACATGCAGTAATTTCCCCAAGAAGCTTGGGAGTACTTGTTCTGTTTTTTGTGCAGTGTGTTTGCAGCAACTGTTCACAAAGATCACAAAAAAGGATCACAACACATTGTGTCAGTGATGTTTCGAGGTATCCATTTTCTTCCTGCTACATGGGAACTTGTATTGAATGTTTCAGTTAGTACTCATTTCTCAGATGATTGATAATTTGCCATTGCTTTAGCAAACTACATCTACATGACTTAATTTTCAGTATGTTAATAAAAATTACACTACTGAAAAATGTGCATTCTCAGATCTCCACACTATTCTTAACTAGCAATTCTTTGTACCACACCATATTATTGGCATGATATCAATAGGTACACTGTTAAATGAAAGATACCTCAGTGTGTTGCATAATAAATAATGTGATTGACCCAACACAGTAGAACTTGTATGCAACTAAATTTACAGGTACAGCTTTTCTCTCCCTTGTGATGCAACAATGCATTATTGCATTGTTCTATACTAGAAAAAAGTGTTGTAAATTGCATTTACATTACATTTCAGAACACAGTTGAATTAAAAAGAGCTGAACATACGCAGTAAAGGAAACATATACCCCAACAAATTTAGGTGATCTTCATTAAAACTGGAAGCATGTGCTGGCACTGAAATGTCTTGCTTGCATAGAAAGAAATTAAATATGCATTTACATAAAAAATCCATTGTAATCAATCTTCAGGTTTTACAAACAGTATGCACTAGCCGAGTGACTATTAGTTTCTCAAGAAGTATCTTGAGGTTAATAGTGCACTAGATGCTTTTAGTAAGGATGTTTCAAACAGTAGTAGGGGCTGCACATAACTGGTAGAATAGCTGGCATATACACAACTTGAACATGTTTCATATCCCTTGTAACTTGTGAAATTATGGTCATGCAACAACAGAATTTTGTCTTTTCTACCTTAATTTTCTTTGCAATGAAAGCGTTCTTTGTTGCCTTATATTCACAAGGATAATGCTTTACCATTTTCATACTTTGTAGCATTTCAAGTGTTCTCACAATCAAAGCTTTCTTTTGTCTGTATCTTGAATGTTTATTTGACTTATAAGTTTTCCATGTTTTGAATTAACTAGTTTAAAGAGCATACCACATCATATTTTCCAAGAATGTGGGAACATGATAGGCAGTATTTTGAATTAACAAGGTTTTGCTGTATAAAGTAGTAGTAAATCTAGTTTGGCCAGTCATGTAAGATTTGTCTCTGATTGAGATTCAGGTAATACAAAAAACTTTCAGGTCTTATTGGCGTTTTTTACCATACAAACACCAATATTTGATATTGTGTTATTTAATATTAATCTATTCAAAATGTGTACCCACTACACTGCTGGCCATTGGTTTCTGTTGCTGAAAATCTTAAATTAGTAATGGTTATGTGGTAAACATCATTTTATGAACTTTATGGCTGTCTTACTTGCATAGAGATGTTTTGAAACATAGGAGCAGTATATATTTAAGATTGCATGTTGAAGAAAAGCTGTATTTTTATTTAGATAACTTTTATAGTTTTAAAAACACTTCTGCAAGTTAAAATTGTTCAGCACAGAGTGTAGTTGGTATGAAAGAAGAAGTTTGATTGGACCAGATAGAATTCTTTTATGTAATTTTTTAATAAACTTAATGTTTCTTTTTAACGAGTTCATTGATTTCCATATATAGCCATGGTATTTGTCCCTCCATAATAAGCAGCCTCTTTCAGCAAGCACTTATTAAGCCTACATAGAGGAAATATCCCTTGTTGCTTGCTGTAACTGCTTGTTCAGTATATTTAATGGTGACCCGCATATTGAAAAGGCAACTTTTTATGTATGCAGCTTTGGGATACCCATGAAGACTGCTAGGCTGGATTTGATGTGAATCTAATTTACTACACCTATAGGCAAACGGTTATCTAAAGCTGTGAACAAACCCGCATCATTTGCTAGTGAAATGTTTTGCTTCGCCAATAGTAATAAAACAAATATTTAATATCAGTTTTGCTACATTCTGTAGTTTAAGCAAGTGTAGATTTCTGAACTGTGTATATTTCAAATTACACAAAATAGACCAAAAAGCCATGGGGCAAAAAGTTAAAATTATCCAAATTACAAGAGTGGATAGGTGTACTTGAAATTCCCGATGTGTTTGTGATTTTACATACTGCATTAGTGTTTATGTTTATTGCTGACAACAAATCTTAAGAAATGATTAAAATGTCTTTTGTCATTTGATGTTTATTCTCACTCAATAAAATGTGGTGGATACATTTAAGGGTGAACCCCTTCAGCAGTATTCTTTTGGTTGCTGTATCCTATGACTGTAATCTTCAGTAAAAATGTGTGCTTTCATAATATTTTTTGTTATCAGTAAAACATAACTTTATATATAGATACCAATTAATATTTGTTCCCCCCCACCCGTATTTTTGTCACACTGTATATACATGGCTTTTGCTATTTTGCAGACTGTCATATCATCTTCGATAAAGCCTTCACATAGAATCTATGAAATTATTTTACAAATTCACCAGTAAGTCAAATGACACCAACCTTATTTGCACAGAATGCTGTTGAAATACTCTGTGTGAATTAAATAAATTTAGTAGGGATAGTTTAAGGATGGACAGAAACCAAGAAAATGTAGCCTACAAAAATTGTTGCTGAAGGTTTGTTTCAATCAACAATTTTCTAGGAAATTTAGAATGTATTATGTGGTGAAAATTAAAGTGAAGCCAAGTAGGAAAGAATAGAAATATGAACATCTCCAAGAGTGGGAATGAATTGCATGTAACTTTATACATTTGAGATTTCAGGCCTTCATAGTGGTCTGTATGAAGATCTGGGTTGTTGCACCATGTGCTCATATAGTATATGAAAGCTATCTCCAGAAATGTCAAGTGTGCACAAATTGCCGAAAGTGGACAAAATATGTTTCAAACAATTATCGGTCGTAAATTACAATTTATTCCAGCAATGCTGAACTGAAATATTACGTGTTCTCATAAACTAAACATAATGATATGTATTAGTGCTTACTAAATAGATTATCCATGGCAGTCTTCGTATCTATTTTAACTCTTCCATGGGTCAGCATTAATTGTGTGTGTGGAAAGAGATTGAGGATAATTGTTTTTCACAGTTGGGCATCATGTACTTTGTGCGTCGCAACATCCGGCAACATACTTCCTCTTTCATCCAACTGCCACTTTGTTGAAATATGTGGTAACGTGTGGTGCTGAATTTCCTCTGGTTCAGCGCTGATCAGTTTTAGCCAAGAAATTGATTATCTCGACCAGGAATTTAGTAGCTGTTAAATATGGTACGTTTATTACCCAAATTTATAAGTTACATGCACATATAAAGCCGCAAGCTGGATGTTCCTATTCTACCATATTAATCGAACACGTGCAACGTGTATAAAGATTTATTCTGGTTATCTTTGTTGGTAGTCTTTCAGCAAGGATCTAGAAAAACCAGGGACTGAAGCAGCGCTGATTCATCGAATCCGCATTACTTTGACTTCACGAAATGTGAGGAGTTTGGAAAAAGGTAGGATCAGTCTGAATTACTTGTTAGCAAATTCATGATATACATTTTTTATGTGGTCGTTTAAAACTGCCAGCAACCTTCGAATTTAGTCATTCAATTGTAAAGGAAATGGAGCTGCGTTTATGCATTACGGATTCTCTATTTGTTAGTGGCGAATCGAGAAAGTCCTGCAGAAATACATCATTAAATTCTACTAACAGTCCCACTACTAAAGTATTCATTCTTATGCCAAGCAAGAGTCCATTCATTCCATCATGTCCTATGAGTTATCATCTGAGGAAATTCAACAGGAAAAGAATGTTTAACATCTAAAAGAAAATCATTAGAATAATGGCATGTGTTAAAATATTTACAATATCATTGTATTATTTGTGCTGTATTGGTGAAGCTAGAAATGCAAGGGAAGCAGGTGTTTATTTTATTTTTATGTTATTTGTTCATTGGCTTTGTGTTTTATTGGTGCCATGTTCAAATCTGATTGCAGACAATTTTACTTGCAAAAACACTAACATTTGAAGTGCTTCTGTTTCTTGCATTGCACTAGTTACTTATACAAGATACGAATTAGTGTGTTAGCCTTTGGAAGAGCTGTTTTCAAGACCTGGCATCTTTAATAAGATGCCCAGGATCTCCAAACTTTAATCGGAGATCTCATTTCATCTTGGCATGGAGTTGGTAATTTAGTTCTTAATACATTGTTTTATTATTATCATCCTTCTCTTTTTATCTCTATTGGCCTGTCATATGCATGGTCTGTTAGTGGATCTGTTTCCACTTTTCATTTCCTATAATCTCTTTGGTATTCTATGCTTATCTGTTCTTTTTAACATTTCCAAACCATCTCAGTCTGCTTCTCATTATTTGGGTTTCTATTCTATCCATTTTTCCAAAGTGCAGTAATGATTCCAGAGTGGGAAATGATGCTAGTACGAGAACTTGCTTATAAAATGTAACATTGTTTTGCAGTTTGTGCCGATTTGATCAACGGAGCAAAGAAACAAAATCTTCGTGTGAAGGGTCCTGTCCGAATGCCAACAAAGATCCTGCGCATTACAACACGTAAAACTCCTTGTGGTGAAGGTTCAAAAACTTGGGATCGTTTTCAGATGAGGATTCACAAGAGAGTTATAGATCTTCACAGTCCTTCTGAGATTGTGAAGCAGATTGTATCCTTTATTTACAAAGTACAGCATAAATGTTGATAATATGAGAGGTGATAATACTTGCTCCCAATCTCAAAGCTTTATATTTTTATATAATTAATAGTAGTAGTACTTGCTTTTACATGTCCACTTGACTTTGTCCACAGAAGTTTTCATTTGTATTACAGTGGTTGCAGTTGACTTCCTACTGTGCATAACCAGCTATCAGCAACCTTTCTGTCCTGCTGCTTTGCTTCACAAGATTTAAAGTGTGATGTTTTAGAATGGTATTTCAGGTTCATTGTGTAAACCTTAACTACTTTCAGACATCTATCAGCATTGAGCCTGGAGTGGAGGTAGAGGTGACAATTGCAGATGCATGAGGTGCTTTGTAATAAAGAAATGATGAACATGTAATTAAAGATAATTCAGTACTTCATTTTTCCATTCTATGCCTATGTTTTCTAACTAATTTTATTTTTTCAATGTGACTTGCATGATATATATATAATTCTTTAAACCTGTTTGAAGTCCCTTATTCTAGCCATTTATGAATACGGTGGAATAAGAAAATTTGTATATGATGTGGGAAGCATATGAATTGACAGTATAACATATTCACAGATCATATGATAAAACTACAATTATCCATTCTTTGGCGTTTGTCTGTGGCACAATTTTTCATAGAAATCTTTCTGTATTTTTATGTTTGGATATTTCTTTTTATTTATATTAAAACTCAAATATGAGGAAATATTTTTATACACAGTGGCTCAGCATAGACCACGCAACTTTGAAGAGACTGCATGTTGATTTATGCAACTGTCTCAACATTTGATGCCTGGAACTTCTGGGTTTTGATTAAATTTAATGAGAAGATTGTTTCTGAAAATTTGGATGTGTTACTGGCAGGTCAAGCCCAATTATTTTATTTCCTGGACAATGGCAGCAAATTTAGTTTTCTGTTGTAGAATAGTTTACAAATTTTCATATTCCAGTTCCTGTACTATTGATCCTATTGGTGTTTGGAGGACATCTTTTTATTCTGTCCCAGAGAGTTTATTTCCACTAATATGTTTTTGACCATCATACTGTAAGATTCCAGAGGAATGTAATATAGTTTGGTTGGCAATTAGGCAAAATAGTATACAGTAGTCTCACACATTATTTAAAATAGGTAAATTGCCCCCACCCCCAAATTTCCCATTACTGATAAAGTTTGTACTCCTTAATGTGATTGTCATATAATACTTCATTACAAATTATCTGCAGACGCTTTAAACTACACGTCTTATGAAAATCGTCTACAATAGATAATTCACACAAGGTAAAACATCACTACATATATTCATATTTTCAGTTGTTTGGTCAGGTAACATGTTTACATCACAATTGTTAATTACTTTTGTGCCTAGTAGTCAAATTATATACTTTCTGTGTAGGATTTCTATATATATACTTCCATCATATTAAACAGCATTACCCAGATGATGGAGGCAGCACTCCATGGTATTATATCCTACAAGACATCTTCAGATTGGTAAAATTAACCATTCCTGTGTTATCGAGGGGGGTGGTGTTTTTATCAAGTTGGTTTCAAGTTATATTGTAACGCACAGAGTAAATAATAATATATGCGTGACGTTTTACGCTGCGTGAGTTGCCAATGTTAAGATCTAGTACAATTTCAGATTGTCACGGCGGAGATTATGAAGAGTGGCTGTGTTGGGTCAGGTAGAAGTTTCATCCGCGCGAGGAATTGGCGTGATATTTAGAAACTATTCAGTGAAGGCAAAACTTTGACCGGACCACTAAGGAATATGTATTATTTGAAGTTTACGCGGCGGTGAGTCTGAACAGTGCTGTCTTCTGGGTTGTTGCACCGTGTGGTCTGGTAGTAGTTTATCGACGTTTTAGAGGTCCTTGCTGCCTCCATCAGGTTGGTAAATTTCTACCAGACTACACGGCACAAAATCCCAGAAGATAACGATCTTCAGTAGGGAATATGATTGAGTTACGTTGGTATTATCGGTGATCTGTGTAGCGCGAAGTTGTACCAACACGAATTGCTCACGAAATGAATTTAGTTGTAGTAGTAATAGTAGCTGTATTTCAGACAAATGTCTACCAGACTGCAAGGTGCAGCATCTATATCTAGGTTCTAACCAAGAGAACCGTTCAACCAAAATCATTTTCACAAAGGACAAGTTTCCTGTAATTGAGATTTCGTGATGGGATAACCTCCCACCAGTGGCTATAATCCCTAGATTGTATTGTCCAGGCTTTCCGCCACGACAAAATTCCCGTTAGCGTAAGCACAGCCTCATTTTAATTTCAAGGCTCTGTGTTCCATTTACAGCAACGCGTTTCTAACGCAGGAATGGTATAACCTTTCAAGGGACGATGTCTTACGCTTGCGCATGGCTCGCCTTATGGTTGGTTGCTGTTTATGAGTAAAAGTTCTAGACATATCGTCGTGTGACTTTTGTATACAGCAGTACCAATACATACATCATATGTGGTAATATTCAGGTTTACTATGATTGTGGCGTCTTGGTTCATAGACGTGGCTTGGTTTGTGTAAAGACAGACCAAAGTATGCTGCTCATAACTAAAGCATCATGGAAAGTACGGATTTAGGAAGGGACTTTTGATTGAATATTAGACATTGCTTTGTACGTGTTTTCTATTATGCCGGATAATATAAACAGGAATGCTTACATTTTGGTATTGTTAATTGGTATGTATAATTACATTTTGAAACATGCTGAGGAAGGTGTAATACAAACAGGATTTTTTGGTGTCTATTTGGTGTTATAAAATTACACAACGTTTCGATGATTGTATCTGCCCTCTGCTTCTGGTATGAAGGGGAGCGGCATCTACTCCGTGATTTAGATTAGCTAGTTCTTTCTAGCAGACCCCACAGACTAGGTGCCAGAAGTGGCTTTGATTCCCACATTCCAGGTTTGATTATTTTGAGTTGAAATAAGGAATGGATTAGGATCAGGTTTCATTCAGTCACTTGAAGGTACTTGACCTAGTGTGAATAAACTTTACAAATTGTGGTAGAAATTACTAAAGCTGTACAGTCTTTTTGTGAATACAGTACTGAACTTCCAGGTTTAATAAAAACTAACTGTCTTGGTTAATTGAGTGACCATTAGCTTTCAAAGGACTTTGCTTCACGGAGTTGGGTATTGAAGTTGATTTGGAGGCTGCAGTATGGAGTACTGAATTAAGGGACATTGTACACACATTCTGGATGTTCTGTCAGTGGACTGCTTTTGACACCAATATTTGAAGCTGGAAAGAAAATTTGAAGCTTGATTTATGTAAATTCTGTCTCCTTAATCCATGAAAGAGCATTATACAGTATCCACATGACTTTTGAAAATGCAACTGTTTTCATATGAGAGTGTTTTATTTTCTGAGGAAGAAGTTGCCCTTTATTTAACATTTTAGAAATTTGTCTTGCTGCTTCTGGAAGCAAAACAGTAAACTCTTATTAATTTAACAACCTGTCAGTCCAGATGTATTGGGAAGTATGAACAGGTTTTCTAGTTAAGTTTTACTGTAACTATAACCCTGGTGTCAGCAAATATCATTTCTGAACATGCTGAATCTAAAATGCCTAACATTTGTTTTTCTTAAGGCCTGTATTAATTTAGTTTGTTGGGTCAGTTGGTACAACAATATATGTATTGTTGGGCTGGGGAATAGTTCTAATACCTTTGGTTTTTCATTGTTTTCTTCAGTCCAGGTTCTAGGATAGCATGTATATATGCTACAGTTGATTCCAGCCATATCCACTCTGAATTTGTTATTCATGATCTTTCTGTCTTGTCCCACTTGATAGTAATGGTATCAATAATTATATGTTAGATTCATTTATTTTAATCATTGTAACAGTAGCAGGTATATTACGTTTGTGAACAGTTCATGGTTTACCAGTGCCATCAAATGTCAGAACATGATGGAATTTTTTGTCAGTAGTACACGTTTGCAGTGTAATCCGGATCATCACAGTGATGTAAGATAACCATATGACCAAACCTAACTTTGGCCTACACCAGTGTCTTGTGGTACCAGGTGGTCATTCACTTGAAATTTCTTCACCAGGATTTTGTATCAGTCTAGCTTATGTTTATACTTATGAATTATTCAAATATTTTTGTTTTCAGGATTTTGTGAGTAAAGAATGGGTTTACTGACTGATCCAGGTGCTGGGCATGGGAGGCTCACTCAGCTCTTGGTCACCTATCACAACAAATTGATTATTTTATTATACATTGGAGGAGTACTGTGGTTTATGATTTTAGCGCACAAACATTTTAATGCAGGTACATATTCAATTCAACCTTTCTTTGGGAAAACAGTTTATATACAAATTTATTATAAAGTAGAGTTGAGTAGAGTAGAGTTTATTTACATTCCATAGATCCTTCTTAGGACTCAACCAAAGGATGTAGAACATGTCATTTCATACAATATACATACACTTCAGAACTTTCAACACAAGTACAAGAACGTATTTCACATATCAATGTACATAAATTTCAGATTCTGCAATACAAGTATGAAAAATAATTTTACAAATTAATATACATAAACCTCAGAATTTTAAATATAAATGCAAAACTTGCTTTACATATACGTAGATTATGGATATAAAGCTTAAACATTTTCACTGTGAATGAGTAGATGCTTTTTCAGATTACTCTGATCAGCGAATGATTTGTTACATACATCACAGGAATATAGCCTTTCACCACTGTGCGTACGCTGGTGAGTCTTCAGGTTATGCTGATCGATGAATGACTTGTAGTACACTCCTTTCTGATATTTAGTAAAGTTAGCATTTGACACATATAGATCATGTTTACGTCTTGTATTTAAATTATGTACATCTGTATTTCTTTTAAATTTATCCATGTTTTCCACCACAAATGATAGCAAGCAGAGTATAAATTCACTTGCAAGTGGAAGTATATTAAATTTACAAAATAATTTTCTACAAGATACCCTGCTTTTGACACCAGCCATTATTCTAATTATTTTCTTATGCATGCAAGTGTTTTACAAACCTAACAAACATTAGATTTCATAAGGTTATCAATGGTTGTAATGAATGGTGTTTTGAATTTAACATATTTTTAAACAGGTACATATTTTTCTGAAAATGCACTTCTTCCTGGACTTGTGAAAGGTGAATTTGATGAAGATGCAATAGCTAAGGTGTATCAATCTGAGCTTCTGGATGAGGCAGCCAAATATCCTAATGGAGTGCCATACTCTTGGCTGATTGCCAAGTTTCGGCAACTTAATCTTGATACGTACACCCACAACTTCACACTCACCTATCCATTAGGATTGGGAAACGTAAGAAATATTTGCAACAACAATACAGCCATTTTTTTATTTATACAGAAATGTTTTGTTTACATTTTAACAGACATTGTGTCCATCAATGCTACACCATCATTGGCTTGTTACTGTCTTTATAACAACATTAAAATTTGAACTACAGTTACATAAATGAAGAAGTGCATATTTTTCAACTGCTTCAAAACAAAGATATGTAAGTGGAGAAATGGCTGTATCATCCTCAATGACTATTTTGTTATTGTATACTTTGATATGTAATGCAGCAATATGTAATACTATAGTAGGCTTGAAACTTTGAGATATAACTAAATAGGGATTGTGCTCCTCTAGGTCAGTGGTATTCAACCTTTTTGTTTGCATGCACCCAGATATAATTTCTCTTCAACTTTGTACCCCCAAAGTTGTTGGTGTATAATTCAAGTTATACATAGTATATAACCTACAACTAAAAAAAAATTAAATAAATTACATTACTGATTATTCAGTGTTTATCATAAAATAATATATATATTTTTTTAAATTTCACATACCCCCTAAGATGTCTTCGCGTACCCCAGGTTGAATACCACTGCTCTAGGTTATGATGTCATGTAAGTTTGGAGGATCTGTTTGCCTCTATCTTCAGTACAGATTATGGAAGTAGGTTACTCCAAAACATTGGTAACCACTTACAAGACTATACAGTGTTAAATCGGAAGGCCAAAATCACCACTGGAATTGGAATTGATCTCTCTATTGCTTTCTAGGTCTTCCTGCATCTCTTCTACCTCATGGAATAAATTTATAAATTTTGTTTGGAATGTGATCTTTTTCCTTTCTGTCACAGCCAGTAAGTCCTGTGATTCTGAAATTTTAATTTTTTCTGTATATCATAATCCCTTTTCCGATGTAGCATGGCATCTGCATACAGAAGTGACTTGTTGAGGAATGCCCAGCCAGCTCTGTAATCACATGGTGAATCCTCCATGATGATGTCATTACCCAACCAACCAAGTGCTCATGTGATGGTCATATTGACCACAAACAACTCTGATTATACTGGAGCCATTAGTGAAAGTCAAAGGTCATGTGGCAAATATGCTACAGTTGCTGCAGGGTATGCGCATCTCCAAAGTTCTTACATTTTTTTGTCATGAAGCAAAAGTTTCACAGTGATTGACACAGTATTAGAATACTGACCAGTTCTCATAAATAGTTTTTTTTTTAAATGTGTACAGAAATTTACTGGGAAGAATGTATATGCAATTCTTCGTGCTCCCCGGAGTTCAAGCACTGAGGCATTGGTTCTGAGTGTACCGTACCGGCCACCGAGCAGTGTTAATCCTGGCACTGCTCCATCTATAGCAATCATGCTTGCTGTTGCAAAGTTCTTCAGACGTAAGTTGTGTACTTCGCCATTGATTATTTTGGGAGTTTTAGAACTGAAAAGTTAGTATCGGATGTAACATTATGTAGATGTATCTTTGATAATATAATGGAAAGAATTCTAACTCAGATAATACCTAGTCATATGAAAATACATCTGCAATTGTTATATAAAAGTTTGGTGAAGAAAATGGTAACTAATTACATTACAAATACAGCAGCATATATCTTAGAAATACATCTGTTGTATATGTTACTAACGTAATCTTTGCAGGGATTTTGCCACTGCTCTTTGTTAAGCTTTTCTTTTGCATCAGATGCAAGCTTTTTGTATTTCAGAATCTATGTAGATTTGTGTTATTATTTAGGTCAGAAATACTGGGCAAAAGATGTGATCTTTCTGGTGACTGAACACGAGCAGTTGGGAGTGCAAGCATGGCTTGAGGCTTACCATAAAGTTACCTGTGGGAGAAGTGGTGTGCTTGATCATGGTGATATGATGGGTAGGGGTGGAGCAATACAGGTAATAATAAATCATCATTACTGGATATGTTCCTACATAAGGTAATAGTGTTTGAAGGGCTGTAAAAAGAGCCAGCATGCACAATGGACCTAGGAGTGGTCTGAGTACTCAGGGCAACTAAAGTTATTCCCCCAATACCAATGCAAAATTCATATAGGTCTCAAAGAAGTAGGATGTTAAGGGTTGGACTGTATTTAATTAGCTCATCCTACAGTCCTATGGTAAGCATATTTAAAAAACCCTTCATGTTGTATGAAAGCAAGGAAGTTCTTGACTGAGTAACTAAAATTTTTCAAGGAAGCTCCAGCACAGTGGAGTCCGTTGTAGCCATATTTTTGAATCTAGGCTGCAATATGAAGGAAATTTATTATGATTCAGACAGTTTATATAAGTAAATGCAGGTGTGGTTGAACCTCTTGCTACATGAATAAAATGAATTATAAGTAGACCCTTTTAACAGGGTCATATAAGCAGATGTGCTAACACACACTTATTAATTCATTCCAAGATTATCTGCTTTAATGTGATGAAATATGTTCACAGACTGGATGTGACTCATTGTCCTACAAGTTCACATTTATTTTTATAGAACGTTAAACTCACATTTTAAATAAATATTCATTTTCTTTTGACAGGCTGCCATAAACCTGGAACTTCATGCTGAAAAGATAGGTCACATTGATGTGAAAATTGAGGGTTTGAATGGTCAGTTACCGAACTTGGATCTGGTGAACTTGGTACACAGGATGTGTTCCAAAGAGGGTGTCAAACATACATTCAAAAATAGGGTGAGACAGTAGATTTAAATTCTTTCTGTCCATTTATTGGGAAAGAATGATTATTGGTTGCTTCAAAACCAAGACCATTAACCCCTTAAGTGGGCTAAGTACATATATGCATGGATGGTTAACGCCCACATGGTGTGGAGTTCACATATATGCATGCTTCAGATAAGATACTGTTTAGTGGGTTAAGCTCATATATGTGCACTGTTTCTGTCATGCCTCAATGGGGTGTTCTGCCATCTAGTGAAATTATTTTCAACTCTGGTCCTGCTCTAATTTTCAGTATGAGTAGATTTGGACAGCAGGGGGAAATGGGCAACCATGCCCGACAAAACAATAGTTTTTGGCACAATGATTTTCTCCCAACTGCCGTGATGGAATTGCAAATTATTTCTTGAAATGTGTGAAAAATAGATCCCACAAGACATTAAAAGTATTTATCTTGAAATACTCTACTAAATCCAGTGGAAAAGTCCTGTCTTATTTTCACATTTTTATGATGCAAATTATGGTTTGTGTAATCTTAGCTGTTTACTAGTTATTCCTTGTCTCACCCAAGAATGATCATGATGTAAACAAAGAGGAGAGGCAATAACCTACAGCCTACCGCATGATTAGAGGGAGACTGGTGCTAATATGTCAACTTGGTATGCATTCACAAGAAATAGTTTCATTATTTAATAATGAGTTCTCTGTCATATATTGGCCAAGAGATTATACAGACCATTGTATTATGTTTTATGAATTTATTAATTCTTCCCTTGAATTAATGTAGGCATCATGAGCAAAACACATGTTATCAGTTGATGACAATGCAGTGTTTCAGAAACTTTCATGTACCTTGTAAACATTAAGCATATGTACAGGGTGGCGCACGAAATGTTACCCGATTGAAAGTTTAAATGAAGGCTTTAATATTCATATAATGGTACATATATATCTATGAACACAAAGAACAATTCATGGAGATTTATCCTTTATGGATTACATGCTTAATGTGACCACCGTTCTGTTGTGCAACTTCCGAAACACGAACAGCTACGTTCGTGATTACTCGACGGCACATATCCTCCGAAATTTCACCATACATTTAAGCAATCAAAACCCTGAGTTGCATGATTGAGGCTGGTTTTTTTGGAAACAGTTTTTCCTTAAGATAACCCCAAAGGAAAAAGTTGCAGGGGTTTATGTCCCGGACTATTGGGTGGCCAGTTCTGTCCACATCCTTGGCGAGCAGGATATAGGTGGGAAATCACACGTGGACCGAAAGTGTCATGCAGGAAGTCCAAGACAACGTTTGCTGTGTGTGGTGTAGCCCAATCTTGCATAAACCACTGTGTATTTAACGGCAAACCGGGCTTCTTTGCAAGGCTACTCTGACTGCTTCAATGTTCTGCGGGCTACGCATACTTGTGGCACGTCCACGTTTCTTTTCCAACACTGTACCATCCTGATGAAACTGCTGATGAAGTCTGAATAGTTTTTGGAGCAGGGGCCCAGTGAGTACCAAAATGGGCATGAAACCGTCTCTGCGTTTCCACAACACTTTTTGTTTCCACAAAAAACAAAACTGAACCGTAAGTTTTCCCTTGTCTGCCATCTTCTGCATACTGGCGGGAAACCGCGACATAATAACCTCGCGTTAGCTAGGTGATGCATATGTCACCTAATGGTATCTCCATGAACTACTGCGCTTACCCACATGACAGAAAACTTCATCCGATAACGTGGTTGCTGATTTATCGTTAAAACAAATAGGGCATCATTTCGTGCGCCATCCTGTACATTCCTCTCTACCAATCAAGTGACATGGCTAGATGTGTATTCTCTACTCCTGCGATGGTATAGTGAACAGGAAGTTTGTGACAGTGTGGTAAAAACATTGTTTTGATTTAAAGAGCCTTGATTATTTAGTAATTTTTATTCCTTTGATTGTCTCTTACAAAAAGGAGAGTGGTAACTACAGAGACTGGTATAGAGAGTGGCTTCATTCATTCAAGACATTAATGGCAATGGTTGCAACACAAGCATCTGGCGTTCCTAATGGGAATCATGGTCTGTTCCATAGGTGAGTCTGTTCTTAAAGTCCATAATGTAATATAACATACCATATTTTCCAGAATATACATTTTGAATCATTGATTGCACTTTATGTTTGCACACATTTAAATTGGCATATTAAGAACGTAGTTTTAGTGAAAGGTTCTCCAAAAATGGTAATAGATGTATTTTATTAATTGTGTGATGTATTTAGAACTGTTAAGTCAATTTTGTAAGACTTATTACATGTAAGAATTTCCTTACTCCATCATTTCAAAATTGGGTGTACAATATATTTGGGAGTACATTTAGCCAAATATGAATCATTGCCAGATATTTATACAATGTCAAGAGCTTGTGGATTGCTGCTCTGAATATTACTGATTTGAATTAAAACATTTTATAGTTATGACATTTATAGTGTGGACTTTTCTTAGGTAAATGAATCCTTAAAATCTATGTGATGGATTGCCGTATGTTTATACATTATAGGGATCTCATAGATTGCTGTCCTAAATACTTGGTTTGTATAGATTCAAACATTTTCTAAGTTATGTTCTATTTTTAGGACAGTTACAATGAACATTCTACCTTATGCCCCTTAAAAGTATAGTAACCAATATACAGGTGTCCCAAAAATATATGTGTATGTTCATTGTATGAAAATGAGATATAATAATTTCTACCATTACACACATCAGAATTGGTGAATTGACATATCTATTGTAGGTGTCCAGAATGACCACCATCCATGTCTTCCATAAACTTAACACATAGAGGGTGATAACAAGGTTCATATTTTATGTTATAGTGTGTATACATATTTTTGGGACATTCTGTATATGCCTATTTTTGCTGAGGTAAAGTTCATAGTCCTGTGCATTACTTCCTGCATGTAGAATTGAGAAACAAAAAACATTTCAGGTGGCTTCTTGACCCACGAAAACCAGTACTCAATGTTAAGAAAGGTTTTAAGTTTGTGGGAACAAATGGTAACAACACATTTCAGCAGCAGTGCTTTTGAATTTAAGGACTTTTGACTGTCATTGACACATGATGTGCTGTGTAATGCATCTGTGTTTGGGGCAGCTGCCTCATTTGCCCTTGCTCAGCTGTTATCATGTGTAAAGGTTTTGTAAGTTTCTTGAAGCATTTGTTTTTAAACAACTTACCATCAACAATTATGAGCAAAGAGATGGTTTGACTGAATGTGTTGAAGGCTGACATTTTTGTCTTTCACAGACATAATCTCAAAAAAGGTGTATCATCGCTATGTTGGTACATTTTACTATGGAAAGTTTTTACTGAATTTGTAGGCATGGTTGTCATCTTATGTCATAACAAACGTTTGCTATTGTATGAGGTTTATCGGTTACAATCATAAAGTCAAGAGATATATATTCATCTTGCGTGGCTGCCATACTCTGTATTTTCTGTTTCAGAAGCAAGTGATTTTAACAGATGTGTGTTTTAAAAACATCTTTTATCACAAAATGTTCTACACATAACAGTGCAGTAGTTTGTACACCTGCCTCATGTTCATGAAGTACCTGGTTTAGATCATTGCCAGGATACTGGCTGTCCTGATTGGATTTTGAGTCTTTTTTTTTTTCCTTCCCTTCAGGAAATGCTGGGTTGATAGTACCTTAAAATAGATCATGACCACAACCAAATTCATCCTTACTTGTCTTTCATAATTAGATTTTTATCCAGTGCTGAAAAGTGTCATTAAGTAAACCAAAATATGAGTTATTTTTGGCATCAGTATATTGAGATGATGTAATAGAGATTGGAATGCATTCCATAACAATTCTATCACATGGCTTTATAAGGTGTTAAGAGATGTTTGGTCGCCCTTGGTGGACTAGTTGTTGGTGTGCTCACCATTGGACCCAAGATTTGCAGGTTCAAACCAGGTCATTTTCGATGGATTTTTAAGGGTGATAAATATCTGTAGCGCAATTTCCTTTGGAGAGGAAGTAAAGCCGGCGTTCCCATGTTGTAGATTTACAGCGTGTAAAAGAACCTTATGAGCATGAACAAGATGTTTTGTAAGCAAAATTCATCAGCCATTTCTCACACATGTGTCTCCTTATTTTCTAGTAGATGACAGACAAATCAGGATTGAGTAGAAATTGTGCAGAGGCAGTGGGCTTGTCACTCACTAATTACAGATGCACACTTCAAAGACTAGGTAACCTTCCACATGGGAGGAGGCCAAGGCCCAAACTTAGGCTATAGTCCCATTGGATGGAAGAGATGTTTGCCATTGTTGTTAACAGTAACACAGCTGAAGTCTATAAGTATAAATTAATGGTTTCTTTTCTTAAGAAACAAGGAAAGTAGACTAATATTATATTTTAGCAGCACAGTATGCAAGATGGAGATTAGACTTTTAATGTTTGTTGTTTTCCAACTATAGGTTTGGTATTGAGGCTGTGACTTTGGAAGGTTTTGAAAAGAAGGGGAAAGGTAGTCCAGCTCTTTATTTCCAGGTAGGGCGGTAAGTACAATTCGATAACAAAGGTTGTGACACCCATTACATTTTTTGATGTGACGTGTCTGGAAATGTAATAGCAGGAGAGAAAAGAACTTAACAAAGTGGATTACAAAAGAAATTGGTTAGTTAAATCATGGTGTGTACAACAAGGAAAATGGTTACAACTAAGTAGTGCAACATAGAGAATATTGGTACTTTCTCACCAGGGATGATAGTGTGTAGTAGTTACCAAAATGTATGGTTATAAATACTGTTTGCTAAGGATGATAATATATTAAATGGAATATACAACAGAGGCATACTGAAATCCTGTTACAAGTCAGCAAATGTACTTGGCTGGTTTAGAATATATATAATATTAATAAAATATTACCTGTACTTGAATATGGGGCTGTGTAACAGCATTGTTATTGGCTTGAAGTTTAGTTGCCATGGAAATGTGATCCACGACCTACAGTATAGTCTCCTGTCAGCCAATGCACATGGTGGCTGTGCAGTTTGGTTGTTACGGAAAAATGTACAATCAATGGCATCACACTCGGACCATTTAGGTGATGTGATACATGGACAGACCTCTCCTTTCTCCATGTATTCCTTTTCTATTTCTTCCAACATACAACAATGAAAAATAACCCTAATATCGTTTTTAAATTTTTGTACTTCTTCTTATACTTCTAACAACCATCGCATGGTACTTACCGAGTAGAATATTTTACCATGTAGTGTCGTTTATTAGCTTTGCTACATCAAAGGTTTCCCCAGTGTCCTTGCCCATTTTAATATCTCCTTTGTTGGTGCAAGTAGTCATGAAAACAAGAACCTGACTTGTATGTGATACAGTTGCTTATTTGACACAGCCTTACAAATTTGGCATGCTTCAGTCTTAAGACAGTATCCATTACCAGCAGTTTGAAGAATTTAAAGATTAGATTTTTGTGTATGATAATTAATATTAGATATGTTGATCATTTCCTTTCAGTGTGCTTGAAGGGTTATTTCGGAGTTTAAATAACCTGCTGGAACGTTTCCATCAGTCATATTTCTTCTATCTTCTGCCTGCTGCTGACAGATTCATCTCTATAGGTAATACATTATACAGACTGTCTGAAGAACAGCTTTCTTATGATGTTTTGCATGACAAAGATTACATGTTACATATTAATTTGCAGGTATGTATATGCCACCTCTTGGGTTGATTTGTGCTGGTTTAGTAATTAAAGCATTTGCCCTGTGGCTAAAAATGCAAGAGGATTCAACTAAAAAGCAGCCTGCAGAAAATGAGGACACTGAAGAAGATAAGAGTAAACTTAGCAATCAGGTTTGTTATGTATGATAGTAAAATCTGTGTCCTCTACATATATTAATATTATATAAACATTTGTATGGGTGTGCATATGGACACAGTTTTATTTGACATACTCCATACCTAACATTAAAGAGCAATAATGCAAACTTTTTTAACAAGTGTAAAACACACGTGCTTTCATGAATATAGGTGAGTCAGAAGTATGTTTACAAACTTCGTGTGCGTGTTCCAGGAGCAAAAATAATAACAAATGTTCCTATGAACATGGGGTCGCAAATGTTTCATTTTCAAAATAATAGCCAAAAATAAGTTTCAATGAATTTACTTTATATCGAAGTGAATCCAGTTTCCAGCAAAGATTTTCAATTAACGTTTGGGCAGGAATTGTTGGCGGCATGCTTCCATCGCATCTAAGAGGACCCTCATATCAGCGATTCTTAAGAAAACACTTGTCACATCTCCTTGAAGTTGTACCACTGAATACAAGAAGACAAATGTGGTTTATGCATGACGGAGCCCCAGCACACTTCTCCCATCGCGTCAGATATCATCTCAATGAGCAGTACCCTCAGCGATGGATTGGGCGTGGTGGCCCAGTAGCATGTCCACCGAGGTCACTGGACCTGACTCCATTGAACTTTTATCTGTAGGGACACTTGAAGTCCCTCGTTTATGCAACACCCATAAACAATGCAGACAACCTATGGGAACGTGTGCAGAAAGCATGCCAGATGGTTCGAAACCCTGGTTTGTACAAACGAATTTATCAGTCTTGTGTACGTCGTGCTCGTGCATGTGTGGATGAACAATGGAGGAACAACCTTTGAGAATCTGTTATACAGAAATATCCCTGTCCTTATACTTGGCAATAAAGGCATACATTGAACATTATTTTTGGCTATTATTTCAAAAATGAAACATTTGTGACCCCATGTTCATAGGAACATTTTTTCTTATTTTTGATCCTGGAACACGCACATGAAGTTTCTAAACATACTTCTGACTCACTCTGTATATTTATTATTCTCATTTTTATTTACGTGTCCATACAAAGTCACATTTGCATGGCTTTATATTATAACAGAATAGCAGTAGAGAATGCTCAAGGTTTTTACATTTTGTGTTTCTGAAAGAAATGAGTAAATTTACCCTTAATTAAGGCATTCCCATTGTTTTGAATTAACTGTAAAAATGCATAGACTTTGTTGATTGTAATGACTTTTATTTCAGTATTTCTGTTCCATTAATTTTGCCTTTGTTATGTCTGCTGGTTCTTTATGAAAGGTGCTTGTAGTTTGAAACTCAAACATGGGATCCTGCAATAGTGTGGTCCCAAAGGTTTGTTAGGCAATTTAGTGGTTTCATTTGAACATACACATTTCAGTGACTGGGGTCTGTGTCATTTATCTGGTTACACTTAAAGCAACAGCTTTTAAATTTACTAGCTGAGCAATCTGTATGGGGGTTTTCTGAGGGTATTTAAATTTCTGTACAAGCTATCAGAGAACTGTATAATAAGTAAGAATGAGAAAAAGAGTGGAATTATTATTATTGTTTCTGATTATAATTAGGTTCTGGTTATTATTATTATTATTATTATTTTCCAAATGTTTCAGTTAGTCACATCTGAAACTAACACTGTCATGTGTTCTGGGTTTGTAAGAAAGGTCGTTTATAATATATGTTGAAGATAATTTTAATTTTATACTTTTCTTCCACCAGGATTCAACAAACAATTTCAGCTTAGTCCCTGTGGGAGTGACTGTTCTAGCAGCTCATTCTGTCAGTATAGTCATGTTGTCTTCCCCTCAGAAACTTAATGCACTGGGTCTTAAGTTTGGATTGTCGACTCCACTAGCTTTATACGCGGGATACTTTATTATGACTCTGTTAATGTCTATTCTTCCACTGTTTGCTTGCAGGTGAGTTACTTTGACTGGGCTGAAATTTGAACTTTTCTTGAAGTGTTCATCATTGTTTGGTCCAGACATTAGGCTTGGACCTCTGGAATATTATATCTAAAGGGCAATTCATTCATGATAGAGAAATAGCTGAAGGGGGGATATAAAAATGGCACATATAAGAACTTTGTAAAATATGAATTTTAGCCTTGTATATAATGTTTCCTGTGAATAGGTTAAAATGTTTTCTTCTCTTAAGGCATATTGGAAGAACAGTGGAAAGTCGAAGTATCTTCAACATTGTTGCATTACTGGAACTGGCTACAATTTTGCTGTGTACATCAATGCAAAACTTTTCTTTGGCTCTTCTCAGTGCTGTTGTGTATGTTCCTTCTGGTTTATTAATGGTTCCAACACAAAACAGGTGAATTTTCTTTTATTTATATGTATTAGGAAGAAAATGTTATAACAGAAATAAGAATGAGTTTCTAGACTGGTTACTGTATGAAGTTAAAATGGTCTTCATTTTTTGTTATAATATCTTATCGTATTCTTATATCTCACTGCCGTTAAAACCTCAAATCCTACAAGGAAAAATAAACTGCATAGTACAAATGGCTATGCAACAATAGATTTTTATCTCATTTATAATAGATCATGAGTGATTTTTCTGTTGGAGGAAATACGTAGTTATGATATTGAAGCAAGACTATGGTAGAGACATAATAATGCCAGTTTGATATTCAAATTTAATAAATAATAATTAATTTTGATAGTAAAAGTAAGTTATTGAAAGATGTGATAATAGCAGGCAGAAGGTAAATAAGATTGTTGAAGTAATTTAACATATTTCAAATATAACATGTACATATTGAAATTGTGAGATAATACATTTCTGAAAAAAATTATTTTAATTACTCCAGTTTTGACAACACCTTTGCACTCTTGTACTCTTATTTATTGCCATTGAGGGGGGGGGGGGAAGAAAAGAAAAGAAAGAAAGAAATATTTGTCTATTCTATCCAAGTCTGCATGGATAGAATAGACTTATTTTATCCATGTCTGCATGGTTCATCTCTGGAACTTCTAAATGGATTTTGATGACAAATTGTTTATATTGGTCCAGTATGACTCCAACTTTTCATGATGCTCAAATCCTTTGCCAGTCCTTCCCCAAAGGCTAATTTTCAGAAAACTGGTACATGATATCATCTGTGGATCAGATCAAGATCTATGATCTTTATGTGAATCATTTTTCGATATGATGAGCAGTAAACAATGTCTAAGGGACTTCATGTAGTGTAGAAGAAATGCAGCTTTGTAACAGTTGATTTTTATCTACAATACATTTATATTTGCCAGTAAGGAATGCAAAATTGCAAAGAAATACATTTTGGAAGTACTGTACATTTACTTCACTGGAATACATGTTGCAGGTATTACGATAAATTCCATACTCAGTAATATCGCATGCAATTTACAGTTACCTTGCAGTCCTGATTTTATGTTCATACAGGATCCTGACTATACTTCAGAAAATATTATGGGTGTTTTTGCATCCCCTATGGTTGCTGATCATTGTTGTGCTGTTTCACACTACACTGACATTTCCAGACGAGTCAGTTCTTGTACTTTCAGAAATGGGTATGTATGGGGCTCCTTTCTTAGAGAGTACAAGGCCAGTATAGAAAGAGAAACTTTATGGTCTGATTTCTACTCTTTCTACGAGGCTCGTCCACAAAGTAAGTTTCATGGAAATATTTATTGCAACAGATACAGCAAGTGTCCAGCTATTTTTCAACATATTCGCCACCGGAATTGAGACATTTGTCATACCGTGGGACCAACTTTTGAATACCTGTGTCGTAGAAGTCTGCCGCCTGGGATTGGAACCACTGTGTGACAACCATCTCCGCCTCTCTGTCATTCTCAAAACGCTGACACTGACCGGACAGGAATTTCTTGAGGTGTAGGAAAAGATGGAAATTACTGGGAGTGAGGTCCGGGCTGTAGGGTGAATGATTAAACACCTCCCAGCTGAACTCCTGCAGGAGACTTGCTGTCCGTCGAGCCGTGTGCGGCCTAGCGTTATCACTGACCGCACTTCACAGTCGGCGGGAGCTGGAATAAGAACCTCCATCTTCAACAGCTGCAACGATGCTACTGTGAGAACGCGGGAAGTACCGTTAGTGCATGCGCCATGCTACGTCATTGCTCTATCACGTACGCACAGTCGCTTCGCGCAATATAAGGTTTGCTAGCTGTGGGACGAGTGGGAAACTTACTTTGTGGACGCGCCTCGTATTTACCTGATATGACTGGTGAAGAAAGAATTAGTGTCTTTGTTGAAATATGAACCAGAATCATACTGTCTGTAACTACTGATATTATAATGGTAACTGAGGCATCATGTATTGTCATCCATGAGAGAAATTACAGAACAGTTTTACACATAACATAGTGCCAAATTAATTTTTTGTATATTTTGTTTTTCAGGTATGCGTGCTGTGCTCAAGGCACTGGTTTTTGCAGTGGTTGATAGCTATATTTATGCAAACTGGCTGTTTCCAGTTGCTACTGCCATTCTTCTTCCAAACTGGATACTGTTTTGGATTGTATTACATAATAGTCCTTACCAGGAAAAAAAAGAAGAAAAAAATGAAGACTGACAAAAGAAAAACTCAGTGAAGGTGACAGTATATTTGTGTATGAATTTACTCAAAGTGAAATTAGATCAAATCTATTAAATTTCCAATGTTGGTGTAATTACTTACACTGATTGCATTTTATAGGTTTGAAGATAGGTCAATGAGATTGCCTGAAATTTTTATGAGAGAAGAAAAGTGAATTGTAACCATTATTAATGGTGTATTGTCTACAGAGGTTTGTAGTTTTGATGAAAAATTAGAATGATCCTAGATTGTGAGCTAACCAGAGGATATTAACACATTGTATAATGGATGTGAGTACCTCATGGTACATTCTGTACTTGGACATTTAATTAAACTACATAAATGCTATACATTTATGAAAGTTCATGTTTTCACTTGCCATTGACCAATTTACATATCTTATGTGGGGATACTCATAAAGGGATCTATTTATCTTAGGAGTGTGTGTCAGTTTTATGCATGCAAGAACTGATAATAGTGAACCAATAGTCTTTTGCGTCATTAGGTGTGACGTCAGTCCATTTCTGAGGATTTTGGTGAAATTTTGTGTTGTCTGTAGGTAATAAGTTTTTTCCCCCACATAATGATTAAAATATTTAATTGTCACACACAATTCCAGTCACTTTCAGTATCATTTGTAACTACAGTAATGCCAGAAACTTTATGAAATAGTACAAAGTTCAGAGGCTTGGTCATTTTATAATCTCTTATTTGCCGTAGCAGCATTTAGTCCTTTTGTATGTTGGACAAAGCGCTTACCTTTTTGTGTTCAAAACTTAATGAGCTGTGCTAAACTTAGACCTTTCTAACTCCCATATTCTGCTGTTAGATTACAAACCAAAAACATGCAAATGTTCTCTAGACCTTGAGCAGTTGGAGGTCAAATAAGTAATTGTTAGTGAACTGAAAGGTTTGTCACTGTGTTCACAAGTTTCTTCAGTAGTTAATGAAATATTAACATGATTATTCACACTGCTTTGACTGGATTCTGTCTTGAGAGAGTTCTTTTCAATTCACATCTTCATAATATCTTTCTCTAAGTTCCATTTTACATTTCAGTTCTATGGTGAAATGTTTTGTATGTAAATTATTGGGAAGGAAGTAGAAGCAAAATATGTAGTACAAAATCAATAAGATAAAATTTATGCCAGTTTCAATTATGGCACATTCCTTAGCACAGATACTTTTCCGATTGGAATCAATTATGCAAAATGCACTACAATATGAATACAATAATTAAATCACTAAAAACAACAGTAACAGTTTAATAAATTATTGCAATCAATTCCAAAGAAGTTCAATATGACAGATACTATAGTACTATATTAAATTGTACACTTATTATGATGGTTCCTGAATAATTACAGATTGCTTTAGTTCTGCAGTACTGAAGCAGAATTACTAATACGATTTGACTATGAGCATAGTGGAGATCTTGCTCACTAATAGCATGAGAAACTACACTTATTGCACATAACTCCTGTATCTATAAATCAGATATCTAAATGTAATTGATTTTCTTATCTTTCATACTAACTGCTTATATTCACACTTGGAACTTGCTTGGGTACATGCAATCAGAGCTATCAGGCCATCAACAATGCCTCATTTACTGACATTGAAGCTTTTGGTTCCCTGTTTCCTGAAATATTTTGTGAATGTGCTTTTAGGCAGCAGAACATGATTAACATACAATGGATAAAGTGAAATTCAATTTTATTTGTATATGAAAAGAAAATGTATCCATTTCCAGATGAATCAGTTGACAAGTGTACAATGTAACACTATGCCTGTGTCTCCAGAATGTGCCAAGTTTTATCATTATAAAAAAGTAACATCTGCTTTTGTAGAGAACAGAATGTTGTCATATCTTAAGGTCTTCATTAAGTATTTGTACACTCTGCTTCTTGTATACAGAAATTTCAAATTAGTGCACTTTATTTTCTTTATTGCTGGACACAAAACTAATCTTATCCTTAACCAATTTATGCCTAATGGTCAGTAACTGTCCCATGTATGTGTATATACATATACTGCTATTTTAATGATCAGTCACTGAACAGTTCTTACTATTACTACAGTATTATTAATAATATTTGCAGAAATACTGCAAGACATTTGTCTTAATAAGAAGATGCTGATTTCTTGATAAAATTTATGAGGCCATTTGTTGATGAATCATGGGTTGTAACATGGTTCTTGTCAGTCAGCTCTGGTTCAATGGCTTTTGCCAACTGCTTGCCAAGTTCAACACTACAGAAGAAACAAGTTAAAATGTAATTGACCATGCTTTCTTGATGGTTTGCTGAAACTGAATTTTAATTTTTGGGTGATGAGACCATGTTTTGGTGGGTTGACTTGCCACTGTTTTTGAGAAATTAACAGTCTGTATCTTCAGGGCAAAGTACTGAAAGCATGAGGACTACATCTGCTAGTAGTCATATTTCCCTGAAATCTGAGTTTATTAAATTTCTCCATAATATGGGCAGACTACTGAACTATGGTGTCATTATCCAGAAATGGAAATGTGAATTTCATTTTAAATGTAAATTTTCAAGTAACTGATTCAAGATTAATTTGTTGAAGGAAAAACATTTTAAATGATTTCTGAACACCATCTAAGTCACCGATTCAAAAAGTACACTTTTAGGAAACAGCCCTGTACAAGGTTTTCTTGTAAATATGTTGGTAACATACACATGATTACATACATAAATATGGTATTTATGTACTCAAATAAGACCCCCCCACCCCTGAGGACCATTCATACAACCAAACATAGTGTATGGTATGATGAAAATAATAAATGTCCCAGCATAAGAAACTATGCTGGTTATAGTTAATACTATGACTACAGTGCCAATTTACTAGTCTTGTCATAGGCATGGTAGAGTATTATTTTGGGGTTAGGAGGGGAAAAGTGTAATGTTTTGAATTATTACTTACCCCCATTGGTCATAAGAATTGATATCCCATATGACACCCTGAGTGAATATCTTGTGCTCATACAATACTGGAATAAAATCAACAAATACATTTGGTTATAAAAATGTAGTGTATTATAATGACAAATAAGCCAAAGTTACATCACATATAATATATATCACATCAGGTCAGAGATATGAGCCACAGGAAACCATACTAAGTAGTGTCAAATTAAATTGTGTGGCTACAAACATCCCCCCCCCCAATATCAAATTCTTAATAGCATGGTGATGGAACTGATGTCAACTTCACCACTCAAATAACAAAATTGTAAGAACTAAATTAAATGACTGGGCCTACAGGAAAGTCTAGTTGCATGCAAAATAAATGAATTGAATTGAAAATGTTTTATTAACACATGGGGTAAGCATAAAGGGTGAAGCAAAGATACATTTTCAAATGCTTGCACATATGAGTTCTGAACTGATAAATGATCAGAAGAGTAGGGAAATTGAATACAAAATATATTTTGTAAGTGCCAAATATACGCAATACTGTTATGAAAGACATACATAGCAATTTTGTAATTGTATTTAGATATGTAATTATGTGGATCATTGCATATCATAGAGGGTACAGTTATTTAGTGATTTTTCTCACTTGTATAGATCTTTATGTATAGTGTTTCATTATTACACTCGTCACACCAATTATTGTAGGTCAATCAGGTACTTTTTCAGCAGTTTTTGAACCCTCTTAAAGAAGCCCTATGGAAAACTATATAAGAATGACGGATGGACAGATGTGAAAAGTCTACAAAGAAATTCCTAAATATGGCATGCTTATTTTAAACATAACTGGTAATTGTTATTAATGTTGCAGTTTTAAAAGACTGCCTTTGAGTACTTAGAAATGAAAACATCAAACTATTATGTTTACTTACTGGTAAAGAATATCTTTTGTGCATGTCTGCTAAATTCTGCTACTGATATATTGCATAGATAACAGTGAGGACACTGACCATAAATAAAAGAACTTGGTTATAATACCATAATCACATTGTTAACAATTAAAACAGTCAACCATGGTTATTTCCATACCAATGAGTGATCCAAGTGTGAAAGGAGTGATCTTCCTGACAACAATTGAATTGGTTGGTCTGTTTCCTTCAAACACTTTGTGTGGGAGAATTTTTTCCAAGTTGCTACCAGACAACCCTGACTTCTCCAGTTCAGACCTGGCCTCTTCCTTGGTTTTCCCTTTCATTAGAGCCTCAGTCTGGGCTAAAAAGTTTGCCAACAGTATCTGAAATCATATATTAATCTTCATTCCCACAGCTTTTCAATCATAATCTTGCTCTTAATTTTATATGAAACAGAAATACAGTTGCAGAAAAGCAGCACATGCTAAGTGGGTCCTTGTCATGATGGCATGATATGTCCTGCCTGAGGTTGTGGATGGGAAAATGGCCTCCAAATATAGAAGGTAACAGCAAATATACTGAATACACAGTCTCATACAGCTACCAGGGACATTCCTCCAGGGTGGGGGTTTTGTGGGTGCTAACAGTACGATGAGGAAAAACTAGCATCTTATGGAATGTCACAGGGCCAATAAAGAAATTAAACAATCAACTCTCGTTTCAGTAGTATTAAGAATGAACATTTTAACAGCATTTAAAAATACTGTAACATTTTATACTAGCATGAAGGTAGGCAAATAATTTCTTGCTCACTGTTGTTATAATGCTTATTTGTGCAAGTATCCCAAGTAAATTTAATTATAAAGTCAAACCTCAGTTCACGAACTTAATTCGTTCCTGAAGGTCGTTCGTAAACCGAAACTATTTTCCCCATAGGAATTAATGTAAAATGGATTAATCCGTTCCTGGAC